AAATCAACTTTTCCTATACTACCACAGAGAGATTGACATTTGTGGTACTAAGTGACACCCAGAGGATGAATCCTAATAACATTGGTGACCCCAATCCCAGCTACTGACACTCCCATTCCCCTTTGGTGCAACATATGAACACACTAAACTAAGCTGATGAACATGGTAAATATTAGACCTGCTAAACATCAGCAATGTCACAGTGAGTATTAGCATGGTGGTATTAGCATTTAGCACAAAACATCACCGTTCCTAAATACAGCCTCACAGAGCTGCTAGTATGGCAGCCTCAATCATATTAATCTTCTACTTTTTCTATACCATTAAAAATTACCAGCATTTCAATTTTCGAATACAGCAAGGTACATGTACAATATAATGAACCAAGACTATAATGGTTACCAAGGCCAACTGCATGAATATCTATGATTCTCATGTTAATAATGTGCATCCAGACATGTCTACAGCAGATATGCATTACATGCTATATGCTAAAATACTGTATCTACACTGACAAAGCCATCCGCTGCAATAGTCAATTACTGAGCCTCATCATTTCATCATGCACCTCCCTCTGCAACTTGGCTTTATAATCAGCGCTTCCTTCTGTCAACATACACAGGCAGTCCATCTCTGCTGGGCTGAGGTTCGCTCTGTGCAACCAGGTACAGGACAGTGGGAGGTGGGGAAGAGGGAATGGCAAGATGCCCTCGTTCATGGGAAGCCACATATACACATTCTCCAAATCACTGGCACTCAGTAGTCTTGGAAACAGATTGTATTGCACAACTGTTAAGTTTGCTGCAAATCATGTCACATCACAACCAAGATAGATGATACGGCCTCCGAACAAAAGAGGCTGGAAGCTCATCCTCCCCAAAAGAAACCAAGTCCAGAGGGAGTTGTGCTACCTGTATAAGCACTTTCTCATGGGTCTGCACAAAAGAAGGAGGAGTTACAGGGGTTAGTACAGCTTCTACTCTTCAACATCTAAAGTACTAAGCTCCCATTTTTTGAGCTGATAATGAATGACAGATTGTGTGACTGCAAACCTATCTCTGCCTACTTCATTATCACTTAGCATCAAAGAGGGTTACAAATATGCATAACAAAATTATTACAACAGGCCGGTGGGTCATTGTAAAGTTAATTCTCAGTGATTAAAATAAACCAGGCAGTAAAATCTCTCAAAATGAGTTGCCAAAGTGCATCACTTGATTTATGAGATGAATATCTTAAATATTAATCAGTTTACAAGAGTGAAAAGAGCCAGCCTCTTCCACCATACACCACAAAGTAATCTTTCATCCATTTAATCATGGGTCATGTCAGGCCATTTAACAAGACATGGAAATATTACATTAAAGGTCAAAATCTACCAGGATTCCTAGGATGTGAGTGGCATACTCATATCATTAACCTGTTCAGGTTTTTCTATCAAAGAACATGATTATTCTAAGAACCATGGCTGTATAGATTATTGTGTGAATGATATGCTGACATACTGTAGACACACTCACTGACAATCATACTGCAGGACTTCACATGCACAGTGAGACAGAGCAAAGGCTACTACAGATGATGCACATCAATGTTTTGTATGCAAAATAGTGCAGTTTAATACAACATCACACAATCTGCTCCACCCTCCCCTTCCTACTTGACACAACCTTGATAGAAACTGAAACACTATGAGTTTCTCACTGTTACTACTTTCTGCAAAGCAGTATCACTCATTGCATGCTGTTCTTGAGTGCACCTCCTGTGTATTTAAGCAGGCTGGGAAAAAAAAAACATCATGACTTCACCTGGACAGAGTGAGTCAGAGGAAATTATGGGACGTACCTTAAGTATATTTACATTGTTTCTTTTCAGAAGTTATGAAAGTAACACATTTAAATAAAAAATTTAGAAATACTATCAAATTCAATTTATCCATGAGCAGTAACCTGAAAACTATCACACTGCTTCCATTCATACACTGAATTGCATTTCTGCACTCCTTTAATTGCAGAGTCAAATAGAAAAACAACATATATTCACTCTTCACGACAATAACAGGAAAATGACATACATCATGCTCATGTGCCTCTAGCACAGTTCACTTTGTTTCTATTTGATCAAAGACAAGTGTCGCCGCTAACGATAATTAACACATACATCAGGCGTGCCAGTTAAAATGCAGTTACTATGGGAACCCTAGCCCAACATTGTCTGTCAAGCCTATCGAAATAAAATAACAAAAAAGAAGAAGAAAAAAGAGAGAGAAAGCAGCCTTTAGGCATTATTTTGCTAGCTAACAGATACACACTGATGAGATGGGAGAAGAGGTGAACCATCACATGGTACTGTACTGAAGAAGGTGACAGCTCTTGTAGAGGCAGGCACAGTGAAGTGACATGGTGGAGGAGACAGTGGTGATAGAAGGGTGGATGGCTATTAAGTGGGAAGTCAGAACTAAAATGGTTTGCTATAAACACTAAAGGTCAGTGAAACAAGACGTAGCTCTGATCCAGTATGTGCGTCACTGTAGGATTAGGGTCTTCCGCCTTTGGGCAAGATATTGTTTCCAAATCTGCTCTAACTATTTTTACTAACTGTCTCATCTGATCAAAACTCAAAGTGTCTTTTTACTGGTATGTTGAAAATCAATTATGAGAATGCAACATTTACAGCACAAACATTTTGATTACTATACGGAGAACTTCCAACATCATTACAATTTACTTTTTGTATTTATTTATTTTTTTACAATGGGAGTTTATGGAAGAAGAGTTCAAACCGGGGTCAAACTTTCTTCTTCAGCTACTTCAACATACACTACTTAGAACAAGAAACTTAATTCAAAATAAAAATCACATTTTAAGCTTTTAAATTACATTTCATTCTCATTTCTTAATACGTTTACAGCTCCTCAGTCTCTTAGCCACCAACAAACACCAATTTCCTGCAGAAATTGTGGTATATCAGGTTTTAAACTGACAAAATAGTCAGTTTCCCAATTATGGTTGCATTGGACTTGTGGTTTGCCATTTAATGATGCCAAGAGAATGGAGCTGTGTCAAACTGTGTTAGCAGTCATAACCCTAATATGATGTTAAGGAGGGACAGCTTTGCTCAGTTCGTGTATCCTACACCACATTATTTGTAATGAAAATACAAAAAGTGGCAGTTTATTAAAGGCTGTTATCTTTGAAATGATGTGAGTTTATCTTGTGGAGAATTCAACTTTGGCTGTGACAGACCGCAGGTACTTCTGTGAGCTATTAATCGAGTACAGGATGACTTCAAATTGGACGCAAGGGAAAACTGTAACAGAGCACTACCTTAAATGTGCACGCACACTTAATTTATGTACAAAAACACACACAGTGCATCCTGTGGCTGTAGAACCCAGGACCTAACTTTTACCTTTATGAACACTATCTGCTATATAACTTTGCTAGCACCTCCCTGATTTACCCTAACTGAAGAGTTCACCTGAATGACTGTTGCATCTTACCTGTCAGACAAGAGGAAACTGCTCTGTGAGAAATGTAGCATGCAATTCTGGCATTGTATTACCTGCAGTGAGACTCTGAACTACCTTCAAACAAACAGACATTCAATAATTTTTCCTATAAGTGCTTAATACAACATAAGTCCACATAAAGAGGCTTTGTCTTTTAATGTGAACAAGCAGTAACAGAGGAGCACCACGCTACTTTAAGATGCACCATCGTAATGCACACTAGGGATGCTGAAAGTGGAGCAGGTGAAAGAAAGGGAAATGAGACGGGAGCATGCATGGATGGACAGACAGATGGATTTTAGATCTAATTTGCCCCCTCCCTGACTTCACCTCTAGAGATTCAGTCATGGAGTTACAGTACTGAGCCAGAGACACAAGGGCTGATTGATAATGGTCACTTTTCAACTCTGACTTGTCTGGAGGTGTTGAACTAAAGCTTTCTGAATCATGCAGTTATGTAGTTCTTTTTGTCATATTGCTGATCTTTTATTATAGTAGCTCCGTTTCTTATTTCTGTCCCCCAAAAAAAGCTTTATAGGTCTATATTTCTTGCAGATTGTGGTGCATGTTCTATCAAAATATAATCTGACATTATTTGTGTTAACAGTTTGCAGAGACAAATATCTAAATGTAATTTAAAATGGCTTATTTTAGGAATGGAACAGAGGATCCTGTTGCATGTTGATGTTCAAAGTTATGTTTTATGAGCAGTGATTTTCCTATAGGCTATTGTCTAATTGCCCTTAAAAAAAGCCTATTCCAAGTACAAAAAAAACTGATAAATTGTCTTAGGGTCATTTTAGCCCCTTTCTTTAGCATCTTTACTGAGATAAATGTGCAGGTTCTTTTTAAATGAACTGTTCTACGTTAAGTTTAAGGGCATTTCCTATTTAATAGCCCTCTTTATCCCTGTGCAATTCACACATTTGGGAGACCTTTAGAGTGCCAAGGAGCCCGTGCCTGCCCCCTCTGCCACACCCGCGACAATACACTCCGTTTTCAATTAGCTCATTATTTCTAGCCTATAGCTCCACACTGAAAAATCACAACCCCTACACACACCGACATGTCCAAGAATAGGTCTGAGCAATTGTACGTTTGTGTACAGTAACAGATCTGATCAGGTGATTCGGTAAAACGATAACACAGGCGCGCACCTGCTGACTGTTTCTGCCTACTGGGCCTTGATTTGCATGGAATAAAGGGTGCCCTGATTCCGTGCAGCTTATTAAACCAGCCTGCTGCCCACAATGGTCGAATTAAAGCTCTGTGGCAACACCCTCTCCATCCATCCATGACACTTGAGGCGCACGGCGCTGTCTTTGTGGAGCATGCAGAGTACGGTTTTGAGACAAGCTTCTCACCGGTATGAATACGCGTCCCATTCTTTATCCACAATGTCATTTCGTTCCAACCGGCAAATTCAGAATGCACCTGTTCCGCTGTCATCCGCACCCTATTTAACAAACAAATGAAATGCTTAGCCTACCTGTCCTCTCAGGTCCGGGTGTCAGGCTTCAATCCAGAATGTGATCATTGAGATTGCTAGAAACTGAAAGACGGCCGGACGCCGCCACCGCCAAGGAGCGTCTTTTACTCAGCCACGCGAAACGCAGCCCTGCAGGCTGGGACAGCAGATCAGCACAAGCCGGGAAGGATGGCTTATGGTCTGGACTCAGGAAGGGCTTGGAGAGTAGAGGGGCGTTTTCACAGTGTAAGCAAGGGAACTCCTTACGTCCTGCGTGATATGAAAGGACCTCCGTTTCTGACACGCAGTCTGTCTTACCACTGGGTTTACTGACTTTCGAGTCACCTTTTTCCCACCATAAAGCACAACGCTGAAGGCTTTTGGCATCGGGCCAGAAAGAAGGTGCCCAAACGCACACAATCCAATCTAGTTTCTTTGTGAGCTAAACCAATATAAACCCACTTTCCTGTTGGGTTTACTTTGATTTATTTCATACAGAATATGATGATTTGGGCTATCGTCTTTCTAAAGACTTCTTATTATTCTTAGTTACCAATTTGATGTCTAATTTGGTGTCTCTTCCAATTTAAGAAGGCTACCCCACCTCCTTCAGCTGAAGAGAGGAGGTCACCTGCTGATTTGCTGCTCAGAGGTTTGAATCCATAATCCTACTTGTGTCAGAACGCACATATCTGTCAGTTAATAAAAGTTGAAATGCAAAATGCATTTAGCATAATTAACTGTAAATAACTGCCCTTGGCTTTACATGAAAGTCTGAAAGTTTTTGACATAAAGATACATCTAAGCCTACGAGGCCAATAAGATTAAATTTACGACTTAACTTTTCTCTTGTTTTGAACTAACTGAGAAAAAGATGTTTTAAATGTGCAATTTGTGATAAATATACAATTTTTATGTGCTAGAAAAGCACTCCTGAAGCCAACTTATATCTGATCATGCATCCAACAAGCTTTAACCCCTGACATGTTTTGCTGTAATGTAAAAGCCAATCTTTGACTCACAGCATTAAGTAAAATGGTCCTACTGTTTCCTGCATGGCATGCAGTACAGTATGCTGAAGGAATGAGGCCTAAGTGGGTGATGTATTACATTGGTGACTCATAGGAACCTTCTGTGCTTGAACACCCTCTTTGGCTACATTTCATGCACTAGTGTTCTGTTCAAATGCAAATATGCATACAGTGAAATCAGTTAATGGCACACTTCAGTGGGTCTTCATCAGATGCTAAAAGGATGTGCTAAAATGAGCAGCAAAATCAGAAATGACTTCTTTACCATATGGGGAATATTTTTGGAGTGTAAACTCCATGGATGTGTCTTAACTTATTAGCCCTTATAGATTATATCAAATGGCAGTATTAAAACCATTTAGAACATTAATCTAACATTTACTTGTGAACATAATATGACAAAACCCATCACTCCAAGTAGTCATAAAGAGATTCCTCCACATGGTGGCGATCTGTCCCATCACCACACACATCAGTGTATTGCCTGTACATGCTTCACCCTTCAAGCACATATCACCAGTGCTGGAAGAAGTACTCAGATTGTTTACTTAAGTAAAAGTAGCAGTACCACAGAGTAAAATACCCTGTTAAAATATACAGAATGACACATTTCATATTAATGTATATCCTATTATTGGATTATATTGGGGTGCTATTTTGTACATCACATTTAATCTTGCAGCTGGTAAAGGTGGATCTAATTTTAACTGCTTATAATTTGAAATACTTTACATAGTGCTGAGTAGCCAAAATTGTACTTAAGTACAATACTTGAGTAAATGTAGTTGGGTACCTTTCACCTCTGTATATCAGCTTTTAGTGAGTACCATGACTGCATTTTATTGGTTTTGCATTTGTATTTTAATATCATCTGACAGTAGTTTCATAAAAAAAACTGCACCATACTATTATACATGAATTATGTTGATTCAAGCTTTGTCTCACATAAAAAAAAGATCATTTTGCAGTTTTTATCACTTCACACTGAGATTAAGCAAAGTAATAAATCTCTTCACTACTGAGGGAATTTACATTATTTACACTGTCACAGAGGCACAATTAAATATTTCTATGAGAAGGATTTGCAGCATTTAGAAGTGTGTTAAACAACACCCTTGCTTTGTTACCACCAGGTATCAAACTATATTGTCAGTACGTTAAGTAAAGTTAGCAAGAACTAACGCAGTCTCAAGAAATAAAGTTGGTAATGTTTTTGTTGTTTTAGTAAGGAGCTGACTCATTTTGAAGAATGCACACACACATTTTCATTCAGTGGTTTATATTTGTTTCTATTCTCTTTCTATTGTTTTACTTGATTCTCTTCATTTCTACATTCTATATTAATCACTATTAGACAATTATGTCGCCTTTTGGGCTGCTTTTCCTTCACCATGCAGTCCAACTCATCGCAGACAATCTCAGCAGGGTTTAGGACAAGTGACTGCGAAGGTGATCTGATGCAGCACTCCATCAATTGCCTTCTTCGTCAAATAGCCCTTACATAGCCTGAAGGTCTTTTGGGACAATGTCTTCTTAAAAAAACAAAAGATGGTCCCACAAAGTGCAAACCAGATGATATGGTCTGTGTCACTGCAGACTCTTGTGGTAGCCATGTTGGTCAAGTGTGCTTTTGATTTTGAATAAATGTCCAACAGTGTCACCAGCAAGGCATCCCGACAACATCACATCTCCTCCTCCGTGCTTCAAGGTGTGAACCACACATCTACAATCCCTTCACTTTTTCTGCATCTCACAAAGTCACAGCAGTTGGATCTGAAAATCTCAAAGTTGGACTCATCAGACCAAAGTACAGATTTTCACTGCTCTAAGGTTTATTTCTTGTCTTTTTTGGTACAAGCAATTCTCTTATTATTGGTCTCCCACCGTAGAAGTTTCTTTGCAGCAATTCAACCTTGAAGGCCTGATTCACTCAGTTTTTCCTGATGCTGAGATGTGTCTGGAAAGCACTAATGTTGGGTCTAGCCTGAGGTGTCATTAACTGAGGCAGGTAACTCTAATGAACTTATCCTCTGCAGTAGAGTTCACCTTTCCTGAGGCAATCCTCATGAGAGCCAGTTTCATCATGATTGATGGCTATTGTGAGTGCACTTAAAGAAATTCTCAAAGATCATAAAACCTTCCATTAACTGACCTTCATGTCTAGAAGTAATCATGGATTGGCATTTGTCTTTACAAAAATGTAATAGGGCTATTTGCAGGATACCAACATCCTGGCACCAATCAGCTGATAGCCTCAAATGCATTAAGAAAGTGAGAAATGCCTCCAATTAATTTCTGACTTTTGCCAATAATGTGGAAAGCTGTCATAAAGGCAACTAGAGCCCATTTTGAGGGTTAGGCATTCTGGGGCTTTTTGGTGAGGTTTTGCAAAGTGTAAAGGCCACCTGCTGGTGATGCTCAGTATTGCGTTCCGGTGTCATAAGTCAGAATCACTTTTATCAATCAACCTAGAATTTGGTACATACATTACAAACGTGTTGAAGGGCAGATACATATGAATTTCAGTCTCATATCTCATGTTATGATTTTCATACTGAAAAAAACTGAAATCATCTGTATTTTTCTCTGCTTAAAACGCTATCATTTTAACTGTGGTTGGACTAGGAGAAAGAAATCCAAAATTAAAACTCCTTAGTATTATTTTTACAATGATACCATGGACATGCCTGAGCTCTAAAGAGTTTTGAAATTAGAAACACTTTAATTAAAAAAAAAAAAAAATAAGCAGTGCCTCTACATAGAGAGCAGGGAAGGAAGGGGTGAGCTGCTCACACTGACAGTGGAGAGGATCAATTAAGAGGTTATATTTAGGTCAACCATAGTGCTCATTATCCATATGTGCTACAAATTTGCCAGTAATGGAGACAGTACAAGCTAGAACAGCAGCAGCAATCAGAACACGAACTTGCAGAAATGTGACATTTCACTTCACCTCAGTTTGCTGAGATCCCCTTTTCACCCCTAATCCACTACACTGTAACTGTATGTTTACTCAGTCATACGGTGCTTGTTATATTACTGTAATTTCAGTGAATTGCTGTGATCAAGCTGAAAACAAATGGTAATTTTATATAATGGGTACTTCTGATTATGAAAATCAGTTGAATGTTTTGTAGACTTTTGACTTGAGATGATATTTTGAATGAACATGCTACTGAGTGTTTGTTTAACACAAGAAACAAGACTAGCATTACGGAGTTCTCGGTAGGTAACCAAAACTTATTTACAAAGGAAGCCCAGCCCTCCCATTCAGACTGTCATTAAGGAACAGCTCACCGAATAACTGAGCACTTTGATAATCAACTGACAAAGACAAGATCAGCCTAGCATTATCCATGAGTTATTTTAGAGAGTTCCCTTAACTCTCCTTCCTTTAGAAATAGATTTACAGAATAGCTAATTCTAGATCTAACAGGGCAAAAAAAAAAAAACAATTTATTTTATATATCCTCATTTCAAGACGACCAACCTCCACTCCACCTCCACGCCTCCACCGAGAGTCCCCATGAATGGATTTGACAAAATCCTAAACAAAAAAAAGTAGAAAATAAGGAATTCCAGCTGCTTCGTGTAACCTTGCGGCAGTCCTCAAACACATCTTGGCAATGTGCACTGCAGCAATTAAGTGTGAAAGGAGCAGAGGCTTGGCATGCCTTGTTTGCAAGGAATAAATGAAGAAATTAAAAGAAAATACTGTAGACATGTCTCCCAAGGAGTACAGTTCTAATGCATTCAATACTACAGTAAATGACAGTATTACACCAAATCTACACCATAAAAAAAAACCAAAACAATCTGTTAGGGCTTCCCAGCTGTTGTACAGGAGATGATACATGACGTAAAAGTCAAACTCTGTCATGGTTTTACTGCTTTGTGTTAAATTCTAAGAGACAGAAAAGGTGAGATTGAGATCATGACAGGCAGCCAGTTTTCATGTTTGGATTTAATTAGCTGTGGAGCTGTGAAATAAATTATCACACCTTTCACAGTCCTGTATGAGCCACACCTCACATTCCAGCTTGGCCTCCAGATGTATTGCACATGTATGATTAAGTCAGGTAACTCCAGTTAGCAGGGGCGGACTCAGGCTGTCCAAGGGGCAGGGGCAAAAGGAAACATTAAGGGCACCTGATAAATTCAGCAGGTCCCCATCAGTCCAAAAGACAGTGCACATTGCTACTGTTTCTAAGCTCAACTTTCACCCTCAAGACACATATTGTATACAGAGGAAATGGGTCAAAAAACAAAAAAAACGTTCGCACAGGACTGTTTAATTCCTTTGTGAAATATTGTGCTTTTTATTTATGACCCTTAACCATGTGCTTATTTTTGTAACATGATTTGATTTGATTTTTTGATTTGATTTTATTCTTTCAAACATGCAGAACATTTGACATCAACACACACACATGATTACACAAAGCCAACTACTGCTAATCCAGAATCAGTTTGCTTATACCCAGCACATGTTTGAATGGAGTAGGAAGAAGTCAGACTTATCCAATCCTACCCCAGAACATCATCTTATACAAAAAATTTCATGCATCATTGGCTGCAAGCAGTATCTCTACATAGTAAAATTCTCTTCTTCACCAACAAGTAATACACAGAAAACTTAAAACAGATGGTTTCCTTCATGCATTCTTGATTAAATCTCTAATTCTTGCGTATATCTTGAATGACACATACATTTATATTTGTATTTAAACTCCTCAGTTCTAGTACTGTTTTTCATGTCCACACTTAATTTATTCCATAATTTGACCCCACTTATAGAAATACAAAATCTTTTTTTGGTTGTACGTATAGCATGAACTTTTAGATTTAACTAATGATGACAAATGTTATTTTAACTTTAAAAAGTCCTCCAACCATTATGATCTCTGTGGTCGTTACTCGCTTCCTTCTCATTTGTCCCGCAGAAGCATCTCATGAAATAGCGCTCCTACCCTGGCAGGTGGAATTACAAAAATCCCACCAATATTACTGACAACTTATGTTGCACCAGCGAGCTTTATGGACTTTAGTTTCATGGAAACAGCTATAAACATGACAGAAAGTGTGCTGAAACTCATCATGGAAACTGTCATAAACATGGTGTTATGATTATGAAGCCATTTAGGAACAAAACGTACTTCATTTACTTGTTATATACAAGAATGAGATCCTGCTTCCTTGAAGGAAAGTCCTACGTTTTATATAGCAAGCCATCTGACCCAACCTCCCCCTCATGCAGACTTTGTGGCGCTATATTTTACCTCATCTAACTGCTTCTGTTGCTTGTATCACAATTCAGGATTATATTCCAAATGCTCAGTGATTGTGAACTCTGATTCTCCTGAAGGTAAATGGAATAAAAGACCTATTTTTCTTCAAAACAAAGTGATGTTGTGCTTTAAAAGAAAACACAGAGCTCTTAAAGATTCACTTTAATCCTTCCCAAAGGCCAACAAATCTTTAATTCATGCTATTGCATTCTCTGAAGAATCTTCACACACAATGGGTGTGGTGCTACAACATGCGATGATACAAAATACTTCTTAGACCCTGTAGGCATATCACTCTGACAGACAGACCTGTTGAGATAAATGAGAATGTAATCATCATCTGTACACAAGTATAAACATTTAACCTTTCTACCACATCTAATAAAGATGTTGTCCTTAAGTGCTTATTTATATAATGTTTTCTGTGTGTTCTGTGCTTTCCCTAATTTCCTAGGTTGTATAAGCCCCAGTTTTTTAAAGAATTCTGGCAGATGGAAGTGTGGAGATTTCTAAACAAATAAATTAACCTGTTGCACTCATAACTAACCAGATGAAAAAGATAAAATATACCAGTAAGAAATTTTCTACAGATGGACATGAGGAGAGATACTATACATTTGAACATATTGCTGTGTCTTTGGCTCATGTTTGTTCTTGAAATACAAGTCTCCTTCCTTTCTCTTTTTAATGGTATGCAATTTCAAATGCTGAAAACTGTCCCTGCTTGTTCAAAACTCCATGAAAAATGAAAGCGTTTTAATCTTCTGTGTCACCTTGAAAATGATACTCATTGCCTCAATGGTGAGAGTTAAATAAGCAACCCTGGAAAAAGATTATCACTCCTGCTGCTTTTGTTTGGGCTCACTTCTCTCTTACAGTATAGATCCCATCTCAAGCTGTAGTCTTTCACATTAAAGTCATTTATAGTTTTCTCAAATACTGTACTTATTAGCGTGAAAACTGGGCCATAGTATTTTAAAACTGGGGTACGGGTTCATGAATTCTGGCCAGTGTGGTTACCCTAACTGTAGGGAGTTTGTTTAGGTGCTGATGTAAATACCTGTATCAGAAGTTATTTGCCAGAATCATCAAATACACTTGAACTCAGGTAAAGCACACATCTTTAGAGGGTCCTCCCTCTCTTTAGTAAACACAGAAATACGTGATAGTGCTGAAAATAGCCACTCTATTTTCAGAAACATCCATTTAGGTGTATTTTAAACTTTATTTGCACAAAAGACATTTAAAATAATCATGCACATACTTTAATACTTTGCACAAACGACAAAATGTAATCATTCTATCATCAAATTTGGTTTTCTCTTAATGTGATCCCAAAAACATATATTTGATTTTCTCATTTTTGCAGGTGGCACTCCAATTTGAAGACTTTTTGCTTGTTTTAAAATGCGGTTAGCTTGTATGCAGAGACAAGAGCAGTGAACATGCAGCACAACGTTTAATATCTGAATTGAATGTTGGAGTCAATGAGTGTGATCAGCAAATGGAAATGCTCCTCACGTTCTGTACTTGAATGAACCAGTGTCTGCATGTCATTCCATTCTTTGAGGTGTGATCTGACTTTTGGGCGTTTAAGAAGTCAGATGTTATGAAAGATTAATATGATTTACCTTTCTGGCAGAGAATTCCACAGATTCTTGCCTCAGGCACAACAAATGTTTCTGTTACTTCCTCTTGTATCCAGTAAGTGCACTGTACTGAAGATTCTGTACAGAAAATGCCAGTGCAGTGTGTTTAGTTCTGCACCAGCCATGCCTTTGTAGCTATGAGCAGCTGTGGCTCAGGAGATAGAGCGAGTTGTCCACAGATTCCAGTGCTTTTCCATTCCACATGTCGACGTGTACCTGAACAAAACACTGAACCCCAGTTGCTCCTGGTCACCACTGTATTTGTGTGCAAATGGACCAATGGGAAACAGTGTAGAGTGCTTAAAGTGTGTTTCAGTGAGCAGAAAAGGATAAGACAATTTACAGCTACCCATGGTTGGCCTGTGTATGTGAGGCTTAAGGCAAGATCAAAACCATGGCCCCCAATGCACAAACATACTGTACACTTGTAAAAATATATATACAGCCACTGCCCAAAATATTGGCACCCTGCATTTCTCTCAGATAACATACAACTAATCTCAGAAATTTGTTTCAATCACAAATTCTTTGGCATTCCCATGTTTATTTCTTTTGTTTGCATTTGAGCAATACAAAAAAAGTAGCAGAAAAAAAGCCAAATCTGATACATTCCACCAAAGAATTTGTGATTGCAACAATTTTCTGGGAGAAGTGGTGCATTACGTGACAAAAATGCAGGGGTGCCAATATTTTTGGCCATGACTGTATATACTGTATCAGGGCAAACAAATGATTGCAAAAGATTCTTCTTTTATCTGCTCCAGATTTGTATTGTTTTCCAAATATGCTGTTTTACTTTCTGGATACAGATGATGTGACTCACAGAAGATACAAATGTTGGTAGTGGTATCTTAGCTCACTGGAGGTACAATTAACAGGCTAGGAGAGGTTAAGCCTGCACAACGTGGTTATGCTTATGAAATCATGTTGAAACCTTTGTTTTCTTTGGCATGCTGATTGTTATTTGGATGGATGGCTTCTTTTGGTCAGAGTGAGACAGTTGAGAGATTGATCGGGAAAGACAGAAGAAGCCTCTGAATATAATAACTATGAGTGCAAGCAGTGCTCCCCTCCTATGATTGCTGTTGGCCTTGCTCATCTGTCCATTTGCAAGCCAAATTCTTACATCACACAAAAAAAAAAGAAACTCAAGATGTAAATTATTTACTTTAAACAAATAGCCCAACCAATCAGTAGTCTAGATGTGTTTAAACTGAAAACAAAACATATGATGTAACACCAACAAACCCAGTGTTTTGGCAAATCAAGCGATGTTCACATTATCTGCTGCAGTGTCACAAATTTAGGTCCTAGCGTGTATGTGAATGAGAACTAATATAAAGCACTCTGAATGTGCATCCGAGGCATAGAAAAGTGCTACATAAGAGCATTTACCCTATCCCAAACCTAATTCTAACCTGGACCCTAAATCAAACAGCCCTTTGAAGTTGTGGGGACCAGTCAAGATTTCCTCATAACTGGAGAAATGTCCTCACAACAGTGGTATTGGACTAGAAACACATGTACACACACACACACACACACACACACACACACATCCGGGCAATTACATGACCAACATCAACACAATTGGTATATTGTACTCGTAGTCTTTTATTATATATTTGCATGTTATATAAATAATTTCAATTAACAAAAATAATTAAGCTAATACATGTCTTGTGTTTTATGAAAGTCACATTTGATTTGTAATTTGATTCACCATGATTTTGGTGAATCTGCTTGGACCAGAACAACTACAGTTACTTTAGGATGGAGTCACATAATGGCACTGAAATTGTCAGAATGGAAAAATACATATTCAGAAAAAAAAAAGCAACAATTACCAGATAAAACGCTTCATGTTGCTTTTATTAAACCATTTAGCAACAATGAATGTTTTTACAAAACAATTTGCAATATGTTCTTGGCAAGAAACCGAGCAAATGGAAATGATTACGCCAAACTTAAGAGTATGATGTCTTGAAATGCCTCTTCACATTAAAATGCTATCAGTGCACTGTAAACACAGGAACCACAGTGCAACAGGCACTAACAAATGTGTGTTCACTTAAGCTGCTGCTTTCATTGTGTAGTAGAACACATAATTTGGTAAACTGGTTCTGTTTGGTGGCTGACAAAAAAAGAGGCATAATAAAATAAAAAATAAAAAAAACTTGCCTGTATTACAGAATATGTTAACTACGGTTTTCTTGTTACAGTACAGACATTTTAATAGGATACATAAGTGTATAATATTTGCTCAACATCAGTCAAAGGAACTACTTGCCAAAGCAGACCGAGCAGTGGAGGCAGAGGAAACTGTAAGGATTTGTTTACTGTCACTGGCCTGTGACCTCAGATGGAAGGAACATGGTCACTCTGTACTGCATGTTATTTTATCAGATTTAACTCTATTAGCAGCATAACTTCAAGGAATTCAAAACACTTGAGCCATATTTTTTAACAAACCAAAGATGGAATGTATATAAGGAATACAAGTCCATCTCGGCTGAGAATCTGTGATTTTCTATCCCACAAAATGTCATATTGAAAGGATAAGCCCGATATTATTCTATAATTTTCTTATTGACAATAAATTCCAATACAAGCCCTAGAATGACAATGCATCCACCTAAATGCTTTTCATCTTCTCTACCGTGTGTGTGCAGCTCCAAGCCAGTTCATTTATAATCTGTAAAAATGTATCATAAACAGTTTTTTTTAAGTTAAGTACTTTCCTGAAAAAGCTGGGAACTGTAGTTTTTAACAAACATTACATTTTCACAAGTAATACGTTTGGTTTACTAGTGAGTACTTGTGGCAATGGGATAATGTATATGGGACTGGCTCAAAACAAACCACAGTGTTCAGGAATATGCCTCCTGTTCTTTGACTGATAGGCAATACCTGTTAATAACGTCAGTTCATTATTAGTTTTAGTCTTTTCAGCCTTATTCTTTAATGTATAATTAATCCACAGCTCCAAGCTGCATTGTTGGAATATAGAATGACCGGAATAGATAACAACGGATGGTTCAACATACGATAAGGTCCACACCAGCTAAATGTTTATCAACTAAATTGTTAGCTAAAGGCACAGTGGATATGAGTGATAGTTAAGTTCTAAAGAGCACAAATGATGAAAGTATGGATATGAAAAATGCACAAACTGTCAGCCAGTGACCGTTTTCCATATTGAAAGTACAGTATATAGGCTCATAAAGCAAAGTTCAATTTTTGTTTGCATTTGCATGTTACAGTATTTGTAAAGGCGTTATATCACAATATCATGCCCTGCCCCTATTTTCCATGGCTCCTCATGGCATGTTTTGCTTCCCAACTTTTTCATAGAAATGTCTCTGTTGTCTCCTTACAGGCTGATACAAGTTCATCTCATTGTTAGACAGAAAGACAGAGTCAAGTTGAGTCCACAACACTCAGATGTCAGGTATGAATATAAATGGTTTGTCTGATCACGCTTGACAGAATCAAGGTCAGTGGCTCTTATATCATGGCGAGAGTAATCCCCAAGCTCTTTTTTTAGGAGGGAACAAAAAGAAAATAGTTTTCATGGATCTGTACTGAATTTGTTGATGGGTCCTTCAAGGCACTCAGCTTGGTGGGAATTTCTCCATGTGTTATGATGCTGACAAATGTTGACTCTGTCAAAGTCCAAAGTTTTTTTCCTTGACTTTGAGTGTGAGAGTGAAAGGGATAAACAGGAGGGAAGGGTCCATTTCCTCAAAACAAAGAGCAGAAGATGGAGGCATCAGACTGTCATCCAGGGCCAGGGGCTCCGTCGAGACGTCTGACTGGCACGGCCTGCACAGGGCTTTCAAAAGAACATTTCAAATTAAAACAGTAAATTTTAAGGGCTTATCCTGTGATTTAGTGCTTCCATATAGTTAAAAAGATCACAACAGTAAGATTCTAAAAAGTAACTGAAGCAGCAGAGTATTATATATATTTAGGTGGATTATTACATTATGTGACTTTTTTCAAATATTTCTGCTCCAAAACTTGTTTAATGTGGAGAAGTGCTGTGGGAACCTCCTGTAACCCAGACTCATTGAACAGCAGTGCAGAGATATTAGCGACCAAAAGGTTTTGTGTAGGAGCTGGGCAGTGCATGGTGGAGCAAGGACTGATTCGGAGTAAAGTTGCATATTGTAGCTTTGATTTAATCTAATTTGGGACCTACAATATATCCAGTGACTGGCAGAAGAAAGATTGCTGAGTATGGGGATCTAGCACAACTTTACTTACTTGTCAAGTGCATGTCTAGAGGTAATAAAGCTTCAGCAGCACTTGTATCTAAGTAAGTACTGGGAGAAAGGATACTGATGAAGGTCACAGTCTACGGAAAAGATGCCCTAGTTTTGAGAAATGTATTCAAAATATGGAAAATAAAAGCACATGACAGATTAGACGGGCAATACGTCACAGGTATCATTATGGTATTTTAACCAATGTGCCAAACAAACATGTTGAAAGTTCAAGCACATCTTTTATATAATGGAGATTTTAATCTGAAGTTCAGGAGTGGGACCACGTCCGAGCTTCTGGTCCTCATTAAATTTAAACCACCCATTCATATGTTCACTTCTGCTTTTTCATCAGGCCAGTCGCACACTGTCCTTGTAGTTTGGTTTGTTCGTTTGCCCCTCTGACGGCACCTTGTTTTCTGCTCTGTTACTGGCTCATCTTCCTCACATTTTTAGGGGTTTGTGCTACTCATCCCTCTCCACCATCTGCAGGGCCTTCCCCGTTTACCACAAGCTGCTGCATCCCCCTCAGCTGGCCTTATCAGCTCCCCTCATTCTTTGGTTCCATGAGGACTAGTCCTGTGTCTTCCCTATGACTCTTCTACCACCTGTTTCAGCTTCTTCTTCCTCCTGCATTTCTTTAGTTTTACAAAGACTCCTCCAGTCTTCCCTACGACTCTCCTGCCACCGGCCTTTCATTCTGTTTCTCTGACTACTTCCTCCTTCATCCTGTTGGCTGTCTCCACTGCACGATAACAGTCTTCTTCTTTGTTCCAGCCATTTCTTTGTTGTTTTGTGTTCGCTGTGTCTCAACACGTTTCCTATCTCTCTCCTCTATCCACTTATCCAAACTGGTCGATGCAGAAGAGCCGGGGTCTCTCTGAGGTTTCTTCCATTAAAGGGAGTTTTTCCTCCACACTGTCACCAAGTACCATGGGGGATTTGATGGGTTTTCCTTTAATAGTGCCAGCTCTAGACCTGATTATGTAAAGTACCTTGAGACAATTGTTCTCGTGAATTGGCGCCATGCGATAAATTTATTAGAAGGTTGTGTGGCTCCACTGGTGCCCAGGAGTGGCAAAGCCTTTATTTCCCAAAGCACAGTCCATAAGTATTGCACCGTATTCAAAGATTCATTTGACAGTCATCCTTTCCTGAGGGCAAGGTCCCTGCTAGTGAAAATCCATCTTTCAATGTAGGATGGTGGAGATATTCACTCACTACTCAGTACACTTTATTCTTATTTATATCCTCTTTTGTTTCTTAAAGTGCTGTATGTGAGGATGTTTATTCAGTGACATTTTGTACAACACCTCACTAGCTTGCTTCAGTAGCACTAGCCAATACTGTATTCACACCTAAACAAATGGTTAACATTTTCTGTTGGTTGATATAAAAGCACTTAAGTTCAGACAATTAAGATTTGTTAGAGCAAAACAATCTAAATGCTTGATGTTTGTTTACTATCAGAAGCCTTTTTAAATCGGCTCCAGTCAGAACAGTCATTTATTATTCATTTCACTCTTCACTTATATCAGTATAGTGAATAAGAATCAAGACTGAAAATGACTTGTCTTTTTTTTTTTTTTAACAGAAAAAAAAATCTGACTGACCTTGACAGACAAAAATCACGGCACTCAGGGTCTGTGTCACGCTCAGTACAAATGCAGCGGCGAGCCTTTGCCCTCTGTTCAGTTGATTGTTCCCCAGCAGCACGTTTGATACGTTGAGGGCTTCGGTAACTCGACATCCCATATGGCACAGTACGTCTAAGAAGTTAAAGACAGATCATCAGTAATAGTCCAAATGTGTGATAAAAAGAATCTAACAACACATAATAGATATTGTTAGCTCTAGTGACTGCCAAAACATAGGCATATATCTTCCAGCAGCCCTCAAACCACCTGTCATATATATGCCTTTTTTACACCACACACAGTGAGACATCAGACTGGATATCAAGTATTAATCCAAGCTGATAAATACATACAAATGAAATAAAGTTTCTGAAAAGCTGTACTGTTAATGCAATGGCACTAATCTGTGTTAAGGCTATGACTATTCAGTAACAGCTGAATTTATCTGCTTTACGCTCCGTTATAGTGGCAGTGTTTTGTCTGTGAACATTTGTTTTTACTTAGGTGATCATTAGAATTAGTCATGGAAATACACAGGCAGCCAAAAAGATTCATGACAGTGAATAATAAACTTGAAATATAACTTCCATAGATCCACCTCTGTATATGCGACACTTGTAACCCTAATCTTCTAATCTAGATACCACAGTTTATGAGTAATAAATCACTCGTCTTCTTCTTTTTATTTTCTTCCTCTTCCTGCTCATCTGCTTTTGCCAAATCTGTGAGAGATTTAGTAAAATGGTGTTTGTGGCTCAAGGAAATACTGTATAAGGCCTGGCCTTTTGTGGCAAAGAGGAAGTAGAACATGTGTTAAGATCCATTTGAGAATTCCAGTGGGCACAGCATGAGAGGAAGACTGCCTAAGAGTGTAAAAGAACAACCCTGCTCTAGTAAACCTGTTTTTATAAGACATCTGAAATAAGAACCATTGACTGAATAAACTGTCTCCTGTAGATTTTTATTAGATTATATCAGGCTGCCTGCTGCTTGTATGTGATTGTAGCGCTGCTGATACTCCGCGTACTGCTTCCAGTGTGTTTGCTGGATCCTGCAACCTGACTGTTTACGACTGTAAACCTGATCGACTTTAGTGTCATTTAGGTCTATTAATCTTTTATCTATTCAGTCTGATGTGAATGCCATAGATCAGACGTCTGTCTTAATATATCGGCCGGGAGATATTGTCTACTGTCTAGTATCTATTAAGCAGAAAAGCTCTGAGGAAACATCTTTTAAACAATATGTCAAGCTAAATAAAAACACTAATTATAACTGTAGTGTAGGGGAGAAGTCAGATACACACACTTGACATAGCTACCAACTGTCTTGTAAGCAAGAAGCAATGGGGGGCTCATCTGGAGCGAGCTTGTTTTCAGTATTAGAGGGAGGCGATGCCTTCTTGTTTACTTTCTAATATTCTGTCAACCTTTAGCCCTAAAGAACAAACTTTTCTTGTTTCGAGTTTATCTTCTGTCATAGTGCAGTGCTACTCATGCAGAGCATGAATACACTCACTTTTTAAACTATGCTAATTTGTCTTGACTTGCTAAGCATTAATAAAGTGAGCTGGTTACCTGAAATGCCAACAGCAGTCTTGGCACAAGAACAGGGGAAGAAAGAATGTCTTCCCACTGTCTTGCCAAGGATTTTAATATGTGGTTAAGAGGCAGTATATCAAAGTACCATTTTTCAAAACAAGAAGGTGTTGGAAATTATATTTTAGAATATTGTTACTAATAAGTGGTATGCTAGGCTTTGTATAACAACAAGGTGTGGAAAAACTACTGTAATTTTGCCAGCTGGTAATATCACCTTATCACCTGAAGAGCCAACATACCTCCTGAGGTGCACTTAGTGAACTTGTCGCCAGGACCATCCTGTGGCTTCTGATCAGAGCATGTTGTCCCAGAACTAATCCACCAAATGACTTCCACTTTTAACAGTAATCATTCCTTCATTATAGGCTGCCATCATCAGTGTCTGTCCATAGACAACAGCATAAGATGTTTATGCCAAAGGGCAGTTCCGCTTTTACCTAAAGTAAAAATTAATCAATCCAAATTGTGGGTAACTTAAACTCATTTGTATTATTTATTTTGGTCCATGGGTGGGAGCCAAGAGGGCAGTCAGTGATGGCACCAGCTACCCCCAGAATCTAATTGGCACCCCTGGCAGAGTCAAAATGTGACGCTTATCAGTATTAATGAAGAAAATGATCGGCTCATCAACGCTGGATTCCCCTGGAGCCCAGTACCTGTTTGCTTTGACTGCTTGAGGCCAGTGTGTCTCCTGCATGTGATGTATTGCTGGTTAACCAGCGAATTAATGACCCATGATGTTATTGTCAGTGCTACGATGCCTGTTGGAATTAATTTCACTAAATTGGGACTGTATGATTTGTGGGGGAAGACGCAGCGACCACCGGTTGGATTTACCGGAGCTACTTGAAAGGGAGTGATGTTTCCACTACTCAGGTGGGCTTAATTGGGAGCTTAAAAAAATAAACACATTGTATATCTGTTATCCACTTTTTTTAGACTGTTACAAATTTTGTTTCATCAGTACATATATCATTGTTTACCTATATATGGAGGAGAAACTCAAATGAGTTAATGCCATCGCCGTTCGTTGTGCTGTCCACTTGCAACAGAATAATGGCAGCAGCAGGTGTGCGCATTCACAAACTGTCCTCTTGTTTTAAGGAAGAGGCTCTCTGTTGTTTAACATTCTGAAATAATTACAGACTATATGGAGTTACGATGGGTGCCAAGCTAATCTAGAGGTACCCAAGATTAGCCATTAAATGGATGAAAACGAGAATGCCATGGGCTCTTTAAACTTTAGGGACATCAATCTGTCCATTTAGGAAGCACAAGTGCTTGTGAATCAGTTTCACCTACTTCGATGCAAATGAAAGTGACAGCAGCACATCCATACGTGCAGTTGCAAAATGGTTTGCTGCGTCTCCCAGCACATTTTTAAGAACATGGAGGAGATACCAGGAGATCGACCATTACACCAGGAGAGCTGCACAGGGCCATAGAAGGGTATCTGCTCCTTTGTGCAAGGAGGAACAAGAGGAGCGCTGTGAGTGCCCTATAAAATGACCTCCAGCAGCTACTGGTGTGCATGTTTCTGACCACACTGTCAGTGTGTGTGAGCGGTGTATTTAACATGTGCCACCCCTCCAAAGCTTTCTAGATCTGCCGCTGCTTTGTTCTGAAAGAAGACTAAAGACAATGGCAAACACTCAAAAACAAATTTAGGACAAATTCATACCACAAGGCCTACAACACTGATACAATTTTAATAGCCTATCTACACAACTCCCCTTTAAATCTACCCACAGTGATTGGTGAATGGATCATTTTAATTAGGGAACGTTCACCATGAAGTCCACAGTTTGTCTCTTTGCGTCACTGTGAGGATGTGAAAATGACAAATGGTAACTGAAGGCAATAAAAGAGAGACAAAGCACAATAACTTGCGCCAATAACTGCAATCCCTCCGGTGTCAAACTTTGATCTTACACGGTGAGTTCGTTTCTGTTGGGCTTGCCATCACTTGAACCGTGATTGCCTCTGGCTCCCCAGAGGAGCTACGGCCGTGACTTGTTACAGTTTATTGATATAGGTGCGAGACTCCGATTTGAGCTGCACAAATCAGCCACATGCCAATCCGCGTTTTAACCAGCCTAGGCTTTATCCCCCGTTGACAAAAGGACACGAGATATTGTGCAAGCCTAAAGACGCGGAATTAAAGAGTTATAGAAAGGCCAGCATTTAACAAAGCATGTCTTACTCGGGCGTGTTGATCCAGATGATATCCAAGTGGCAGTAGTAGACGCACTCTTTATCCTTGTATGAATAACAGGTGCAGCGCTTTGGTCTGGTCTTAATCTCCATTGCGTCGTACAGCTGTAGATTCGTGGATCCTTCGGTGCCAAACACGGTGCTGGAGTCCGAGAGATCTCCAGAGTTTACCTCTGATTTGACAGAAGCATTGGGTGTCAAGATACCTTGGGTTGTAACAGAAATATGTTAGTAAATAAATAACAGAATGAGTCAATAAATAAATAAATATACAAATGTTGGAAAGCAAAGGGCTGTAAAAGTTTGTTTCAGACCCAAACGTACCTTGTAAGAGAATTAATGCCAGTATAACGAAAAGCATGATTTTTGAGATGACGTACAGTATCCTTTCCATGTCAGATGTTTAATGAAGAATCACTGTCAAATTAAATCTCCCGTTGGCACCGAGTAATAGTCCCGCACCTCCAGTACACAAGTCCATGCGCAGCTCGTCTCACATGGAGCAGACAACAAATAACTGGTCGGAGGATGTTTGTCACATGGTTCCTTCCGTATCTGTGTCTTAAATCCGACCTGTGACTTGTGCATCAAAGGACAGTGCAGGATTGTCCGTGCCCAGTCGGTTTCTCCTTATTCACGTCTGAAAGCCCAAATCAAAGATGCAAGGCTTTGGAAGTGGCTGGGCACACGCCCATGCCTCCCTGCCCTTCAGTGATAGGCTAAAAAGAGTTTGTGCACTAGTCCGCTTGTGTTCCTGATGCATGACATGAAATCTGACACGTCTTGTTTTAAAAGAGACCATACTGCACAGCTCGGGCCCTCGGGCCATTAATTATCGTCTCAGCTGCATAGGCCATCAATCCAACTATGGTGAAGGTATTTCCCTTTGTTGTTCCAAAACAGAACCACGCACAAACACACCTCACGATATCAATATGGACGCTCCAGAAGGGGATCAAGCAAACACCTGGGTTTTAATCGTCATTTCACACTCATAGTAACCCAGAGGAAATGTTCTAACATCATTTTAAGAACATGTGAAATTCACATCATTTCTGAGGATCACTTCATGCAGTGGAGGCAATAGTTTCCAGACCCACACTTGGCCTATTTTGATTAAGCTGTGTGTGTTACATTACTGTAGAGATTCTTCTGCCTGGTGGTGGAAGTAACTAAGTACATTTAGTCAAGTACTGTACAATTCTGAGGTATCTGTGCTTTACTTGAGCATTTCTGATTTTGTGTTACTTCATACTTTGTACTTTAGAGGCAAATGTTGTACTTTTTACTCCACTACATTTATTTTAGAACTTTAGTTACTAGTTACTTTTTAGAACCAGATTAATACAAAAAATACAGTATAATCATAAGTCTTTATTGATATCCCGTGGAAAATACACAAGCTATGCAAAAGTGATTCAAATTATAAGTATATATGCTAACTAAAGACAGCTCCACCTTTACAAACTGAACCTTTAAATGTAATGAACACAGTAGTACATCAGTAATTATAATTAGCTCACATTATGTGAAATTTGCCAGTCTGCATAATAAGTACTTTTATTACTTTAAATATGTTTTGATGCTAATACTTGTGTACTTTTACTTAAGTAACATCTTGAGTACAAGACTTTTACTTGTAAAAGAGTATTTTTACTTTATTTTACTCTTGATTTGAATTAAGTATGGGACCCAAGTACTTCTTCCACCACTGTTTCTACCCACAATGTTACTTTGATTTGAAGAGGTAACATAGTATAAGCAAACAAGCAAAACAATGAATTGAGTTGATAAAGAAATGTATAGCTTATAGTGTTGTGATAATAAATAATAATAAATGGCTGGTGGCCTGTAGTGTGATTGTTTATATATTTTCTCATTGACTAATGACTACAATTAGACTGCACAGTAATCTGTGTGTGCATGTGTGTAGTTCTCGTCTCTGTTTGGTGGGGGGCGTGAGTGATTTACTAAATTACTAGATGTTAACGTGCTAAAATAAATCTGTGGTGCACTGTTAAGAAGTAAGATGCCACAAGTGAGCTCAGCGAGATCTACATTTGCAGAAGACAGAGCGTGACCACATGTTCAACAGATCAAAACCATTTATTCAGGGAGCACCAAAAGCCTCAAGAATACAAAGACCTAGTTACACTAACTGTTATGGACAGATGTTCTAGGATGAAAAGCTCATAATCAGAGGCATGCTACAACAGAGATGAGGTGAATGTAATGAACTGAATAAACAGTCAAAACAACCAAGGTTCATAGGGTGGAAGGCTGATATCTGATTGAGTTGGTCAGTCTTCCAATTTCAGCATAACATATCAAATTCAGTATGACAACCAGACTGAAGGTAAGGATAAAACAAATAAAAACTACTGAGCTTCACAATAAGAAGTGTCAGGTGCTGAGAGAGATGTAAACATCAAGTACAGAATGATGATTTGCAATCACACACAAAATGCCAATAAGATTTCAGTGAGGACCATATCCAGTTCTGTGTTATTAGATTTTCAATGTGAGAGTGTAAAAATACTCTGTTACAAGTAAAATTCACTTACTAAGTACAAGTTCAAAAGTATTAGCATCAAAAATACAGTCCATTTACCAAAATATACTAAAAAGGTAAAGTAAAAGTACCCACTATAAATGTCACATATATATTGGTTTATAATTATTGATTCATTATTGTGTACATCACATTTAATTTTGAAACTGGTAAAAACAGCTAATTTTAACCACCTTATATGTTTATACTTTGAATTACTGCTTGTGAATTTCCCACCAGGGTTTAATAAAGTTGTATGATTGTGCCATATTTTGTTTTATTAATCAAATTCTGAAAAGTAACTAAAGTGATCAAATAAATGAAGGGTAGTAAAAAGTACAATATTTGCCTCTAAAATAGGGAAGTTAAATTATGAAGTAGCAGAAAATGAAAACACTCAAGTACAGGTGCCATGAAATCATACTTAAGTACAGTACGTCATTAAATACTCAAAATAACAAATGACCTTACATGAAACAAATATATACCTTAATGGGAAGATAATCAGGATACTTTGACATGAGGATCCAAACTTTCCCATACTGTTTACCTTTGCTCTGTCTGTTACATACAGTAATTTTCATCAATGTGTTCTTTCCTAATCTAGTAAGCATACATTTTCTGTCTCATAACTGCCCCCTCTTTCCTTCTCAAATTCCCCAAAGCTAAGGTTTTGTGCCATACCTCAGTACTCTGGCACAATCCCCAAACTGGGAAACAGAGGTTATTTCATATAAACGAAAACCATATCCTGTTTTCTTTATCCAGAGCAAAGCTTCCGAGACATAATACTATCAGAACATCGACTGCATCTGGTTTAGTGGTCACATGCATGCCTTCAAGGTTTCACTTTAGTGCGGAACCTGGTCTGGGGAATCTAATGTTGCAGTGTGAGCCCATGTGATCACAAACGTTTACACTAAGCCAGTCTGGGTTTGACATAGCTGATGAAGGCCATGAGGTGGATGGAGCATTGAAACCTGTCACACATCTGTCACTTAATACTCTGTGCATGATGCAATATATTTTAGTACTTAAATTGTTCATTAGAATTGCTATTATAAAAACCCATATTCAAAGGTCAAATGTCAAAGTTCCATTTTGGACCGACCGAGTTTTACCTACAGGAACATTCTGGTATTTCCCAATTCTAAAGATTCTTAGTTTTTTCCACCCTCCCTTCTTTTCCATTCTATACCTCATGAAGTCAGACATATGGCTTTACATCATAACATATGTATTATATGTTCATTTTCTGCTGGTGAAGGGTTGGTTATAACTTCCCTTGATCTAGTCAGGAGAGGCCATTTCATTGTAAGGCATTCTAGTTTAACATCAAACTATGCCACTTCCTGGCACATTACAGTGAACAGATGGCACATATCAACTCAGTCCCTTTGCCCCACTTACCCCGCTGGCCATCAAAGGCTTATGATGTCTTGTCTTTGTTTCCTTGACCTGAATCAGCGACACACTAGAGGTGTTTGTTCTGTATGTGAAGAAGGGTTTGAACATGGCACTAAGATGTTGATATACTGTAGGGTCCAGTTGAACTTTCCACAAAACATCATTTCAATGACAGGATTATTGCATTAACTTCAGTGAGATGACTCTCTTATGAGTACCAGCTGATGCCCCTGGATCCTTTGTAGTTGCTATTGAGGAAGTAATGGTTTACCAGGACTAGAAATTACAACCCCTGGCGGAATGTTTTAGAGTAAGTGATGCTGTTAACACAGTCAGCATTATCAAATTAAACAAGTAAAGCAGGACCTTTTAAAGACACCTCTAAATTTGAAATGACAATTGGACAGTCAAGTTGGAATTTAACTTTAGATCCATAGGACAGCAGGTGTTGTATGTTGGACAGATTGTAAAGCTGCTTGAGGTGAATGCGTGATCTGTGATTTTGGGCAAAAATAGATAAAATCTGACTTGACTTGTCTTGACTAGAAAACACAGGTTACATGTTTGAAAAAGATAAAACCATCCACAAAAACAATTTCCATTCCAAGACACTGGTAATCACGGAGTTGCTTTTTCATACTGCATAAGGACAAAAACATATGTGGTTTGTCAAAATAATAGTAAAATAAATAATAATAATAAAATAAGACATGAGTGCAGGAAATCTGCCTCAAAATAAAAGCTTGCTGAGAGGTTGACTTTTAATTGGCACCCATGCAATTTGATTATTAGGTCCTAAGAGATGAAGTTTTGCAGATGATGGGCGGCTGTGGCTCAGGAGATAGAACGAGGCGTTTCCTAACTGGAGGATTAGTGGTTCAATTTCCAGCCTGTCCAGTCAACATGTCGAAGTGTCCTTGAGCAAGACACTGAACCCCCAGTTGCTTGTGGTGATAACACCAGTGTGTGAGTGCAAATTGTTGAATGGCCAAAGAGTGTGAAAGTGCTTTGAGTGTGCTGCAATGCTTAGAAAAGTGCTATACAAGTATAAGAACATTTACCATGGGGCTGAAATGTAGAGCACTGATATAAATGGTACCTACTGGCAAAGGTCAAACAATAATTCTGGAAGACACAGCAATACATGCAGAGATAATGCAGTAATTTTCCCATGAGGGTGTTGTGTGCACCTGAGAAATTTAAATTTAGTTTAGATGGCCTTTAAACACAGGCCTTAAAGGTTAGCACCAGTAATTATCTATTTTTGACAAATCTCATACCGACACTAAAACCAACAATTTATTCTTGCACTACACATGTGAAAAGCTAGCAGAGTACATAACAGCACGAGAACCTAATGGAGTACCCTGTCTGTTGCTGTCTGTATTCTTTCAGTGAGCTGACAGATCATTTGACTTTGGACAAATATGAGTCAGTTATTGATCTCACCACACCCCATGCTTTGATATTTTGAACTGCTACAGTCACATTGTTATTTATCTCAGCCAACTCTTATTAGAAATAACAGCCGATCTGGAGTAAGGAATGTTTATTCACAGGTTTTTGGAGACTAAGTAACATGTATATGTACATCTCCTCTGCAGCAAAATGAATAAAAGACAAACACCGAGACATAGTATTCTTCTTTGAACTTGCTAAAATAGATGATCTTTTGAAAAACAATGTGATGCCATCTAATACCATTGCCACATTTCACAAAATTTTCCTCTCTGTTCTTTGTCTTCATGGTTGTTAAAAATAATGCCTCTATAACAATACTTAGGGTAACAAAATGAATTCTTCTAACCATATATTATGTTTTGTAATAGCTGTAATTTGACATATAAAACAAACACTTGATTCTATAGCTTGGCTGCATGTTTTTTTGTCTGGGTTTTGGTTCAGGTACTGTAGTTGAGCAACCCTGTTACACATTGCTGAAAGGCCTGGCCTATGTTCTTTATTACTGTGTACACTTTGGTAACTGGCCAAACCGTACGTACAAACTTTAAAGCCCTCTTTTTCCTAGCCTGTTCTGGTTATTATGTCAAAATCTAAAACAGGGGTTCTCAAATGTTTTCAGCTCAAGACCTAAAGGAGAAATCTGGTCTCTTTCCAGGACCCAAACTTACAAAAATACATCATAGATTGCTACAATCTCTGCAACTGTAAACTACCAATAACAAACACAACAAACCCTGGATTTAAAATGTAATCCATATGAAATGTATTTATTTCATTATAAAAGTACATCACAGCAATAATGAAGTTACTGAGAGTAATGTTAAATTTCATAACACTTAATAACAAACTTGTATGAAACAAACATCACTGGGACTGTCTGACAACAACAGTACCAAATATAATGTTATATTCACTAAATTCAGAATGGACAGACCAATCTTAACATAGGTAGCCACATGTGTGGTGTATTATGCAGCATACTTGCCATTCACTTTATTTAATGTGATGTAAAAAGAAATAAATTTTGAAGAACAGTCCATTTTTCTAACTTTCATTTACCTCAATTTACCACTACTTTGCAGATGTGCTGGCAGCAGCTCTTGCAGCTGTTAAGGCTTGCACCAGCATTGTGGCGGCAGCTGTTGAATGACTATAGGCTGTGAAAGATAACATCTAAGTGGTGCGGGAGAAAAGAAGTTCAAGAGAAAACCAACTGGCTATCGAAGATAAATAATTTTACAGGATAACTGGTTTGATTAAACTGGGAATATTTAAAGCTGGACGAAAATATAATACCTTTTTTTATTTTTATTTTTTAAAAGGAGAGAATTAGACTTTTGCTATTAGAATAGTAGAGGCACCCCTCTTCTCTATTACATGAGGTTCTGGCGCCACCAAGTGGTGTTTCTGTCGTAAAGTCAAGGATTTGTGAAGGATGTACGAGCAAACCCACACCAGCATAGCAAAATAAAACTTTACCACATGATCGACATGCAGACTGGGTCCCAGGTTTGTTCAATAACTGAAATGTTTATAATTTTGTCATATATTTTAAACTGTATAATATTTATTTAGGTCAACCTAATATACTCTCAGTAGCCTATGTTGTTGCTACGGAAAGCACATTAGGACAATCTGGCTTTGTCAGTCGGTTCTGCGGTTACTATGACAGCTGTTGTAAAACACCACTACGAAGCATTGTAGCCTTCTTGCTAATCTAGCAGGCTGTTACCAACCAGCTATATTTTACTTACACATATTTTAAGTGTGTATATATAATAGCAGAAACGACCATCATTTACTACCATTTAATGGTGTTCGTACCCATGTCAAAGTATAAGGTAAGAGCTGTGTGGACATTTTTTTTATTCTGTAGACTTTCTGTTGACAAGATAATAAATCACTCTGATAAAAGTGTTAGTTAGCTTAGCGTTAGCAGTAATTTTATGACAAAGAAGACCACCGCGGTTTTATTAAACAAACCCACTGTGGAAGATTTAGGAAATAATTAGCTAGGTACAGGAACAGGGTTAGGGTTAGCCCAAGTTTGTGAATAAATTAACACCAGTTGCAGTAACATAAGGATCTGGTAGCAAACATCCTGTAGCTGGTAAAAAGGAAGCCAGAGGAATTGCTAATCGATGTGTAGTTTGCAGCTGTGAAGTCTTTGTGCTCAGCATCACTGGGGTTTAAAGTCTTGCTTTGGTTTCTTCGCCTTTGCAGACGTCTGGATACAAGGGTTCAACCGACTCTGGCAAAAGCGAGGAGCAGTGAGTGTTGTTTTAGGTTGGCTGTAATTTAAAAGTGGCTTGAAACAGCAGGCCCCCCAGATCCCAGAATGCCCCTCTATAGAATGTGACAGCTCTCAGTATTTCCATATATGACAGTAACACTGACAATGTCTCCTCAGGGAGGGAATACGTTGTGTGCGTTACAGATGTGGCCAACTCAGCACCATAAAGGATGTCCTGCGCCAGAGACCAGGCTGGGTTGAAGTCAGAGAGTGAGTATGGTTTTGTGTTCTTCATCACATCAGCTTCTTTGCTGAATTGTAGCTTTCACACATATCTGTTAACTTTCTCACAGTGATGGGGAGTGGGATTTCAACTGGTGTGATGTTAGCTGGCTCAGGGAGAATTTTGATCATTTGTATATGGAGGAACATGTAAGGATAAACCACTTTCGCAACCATTATGAGGTGAGGCAAAATCGGTTTGATGCTTCGAGATAATACTGTATATCCTTCAAATCAGAAGTCATGGGATCTTTTTACGTGTTTCTGTGTTTTATATTACAGCTGACTCGCAAAAACCTCATGGTGAAAAACCTGAAAAGATACCGGAAAAACCTTGAAAGAGATATTGGCCGCATGGAGGCATCCAGATGGGATTTTTTCCCCTGCACATTTGCACTGCCCAGCGAGTATCATCTCTTTGTAGAGGAGTTCAAAAGAAGCCCTGGCAGCACCTGGATCATGAAGCCGGTGAGCTAAAGCAGACCATATATGTGTTTGGGAGTACCTATAAACTGAAATTAGATTAGCACCTAAATGTATTTCAAATCATGAAAAATGGTTGTCTTTATTTAGGCAGCAAAATCTCAAGGCAAAGGCATTTTCCTGTTCAGAAAACTCAAAGACATCATTGATTGGAAGAAGGTAATGTGTACTGATTTCATCAAGAAATTGATTGTTCAATAAATTAAAGTAAAATACACACTCTACTTAACCACTGAGTTACTCAGACTGATAATGCTGTGCTTACACAGGATGGCACCCGTTCAGAGGAACAGAAGGATGCAGCTCAAGTGGAAAGCTATGTGGCACAACGTTATATAGAAAACCCTTACCTAATTAATGGTAGTGAACTGTATGAAAAATATGATTTCATTGTCAGTCCCATTTTGACAAATCAACATGATCTACTTTAACAAAAACTGAAAATGGACAAATTGGGAATAGGAGGATTAGTGACCAAGTAGAGTCTTTATTAGTCTTGCTTCAGTTCTTTTTATGCCTTTTGTCCCCACAGGCAGGAAATTTGATCTGAGGGTCTATGTGCTGGTCACATCAGTACGTACTGAACCTTGTGAATTGCAATGTTTTTTATACATAGTTTAAGTTTTGCTGCATGTGTGAATCGGTGCGTGCTTCGTTGTATTTGTGTTTCAGTATGCTCCCTTGAAGGCCTGGCTGTATCGAGATGGCTTTGCTCGCTTCTCCAGCAGCCGCTTCTCCCTTAGCAGTATTCATGACAAATGTATCCCTTTGTGTGTGTGTGTGTGTCATGACATTTTGTCACCATGTGATATGTTGTAGTCTGGTTATGGTAATTTTTAGTCCCAGTCTAATGGAATATTCAAGTAAAATCAATTTTAAATAGGCCCGGTTTGACCCATTTTCTAAGGCTACTGTTCCTAATTTTGTCACTTTCATCCACATCCCCATGGAAGGAGACATCATTAAAGTTCCCAAATTCTCCTAAGTGCTTCTTTCCAGATATGCATCTCACCAATGTAGCTGTTCAAAAAACAGCACCTGACTATGATCCCGTAAAGGTGTGTAATTCAAAAGAATAAGTAATACTGTATTATATTTGTATTTGTATGGTTGTAGTTTTTTGTATTATATGTCTGCCTTTATACTGTTTTTATATATTTCTCCCCTTAATCACCTTCTGTCACCTCTGTATTCCTCCTTTGTTTTATATATCTCTGAATAGGGATGTAAGTGGCAGATACAGCAGCTTCGAAGATATCTGACTGCAAAACATGGTAGAGAGATGGTAGAAACCCTCTTTAAAGAGATGGATAACATCTGTGTCTGCAGTCTACAGAGTGTACAAAAGGTCATTATAAACGACAAGCACTGCTTTGAGCTCTATGGGTATGACATTCTACTGGATCAGAACCTTAAACCGTAAGTACTCAGACACATATTCTATATATGCCTACACAGTGCAGCATCAGCTACACATATTCACTTGAGAACTTCCACTAGTAAGACAGGCATGCTCACACATAAGCACAGAAAAGCACACTTACAGACAAGCCAATATGGCACAAGTTTGAGTTGCCATCCTGGGTGCTTACTGTAAAAACAAAGCAGTAAATCTGCTAGTGTTAGGTTCCAGAAATAACTATGTATAAATATTCTCATAAATCTGCACATCTGAAAAACTGGCAAAGGTGCAATAATCCTGCTGTAAAAAATAACACTAATATCAGTCCCTCTTTCCTTTGCAAATAGTGTAAAATTCATTCAGCTGCATGTGCATAACTATCGGTCTTTCTGAACGGTTTGGCCTAATGCCAGCACAAAGGTAAATGTCATCTCCCTCCATATCCTCTCAGGTGGTTAATTGAGGTGAATGCCTCTCCATCACACACGCCCAGTAGTCAAGAGGATTACGAAATGAAGTACAGACTGCTGGAAGACACTTTGAATGTCGTTGATATGGAGGGAAGGTAAAGGCCTTTTTCTCATCATGTTTGACTTTTGTCAGGAGGCAGAAGTTGAGGGCTTTCTGTCTCTCCAGTTATTATAGGCCTCATTTTCTTTACTGATATTCAGAAATGTATAAAGAATTGTATGTATAATTTTTGGGCATATTTGAAAGTTAAGAACTTGGGGGCAAAGCAGTACCTCTGAGAAACACTTTACTAGACTGTGCCATAGCAACAATAAGCAACTGACTAAATTTTCCCCTCCGATCAAAAAGTGCATACTATTCTACAGATGAATTTCTTTTATCTCTTTATGCCATGCCGATGCTGTATTCTATTTTTACTGTTTTCTCATTAGACTGACTGGCAAGGAGAAAAGGGTGGGTGGCTATGATCTCATGTGGAACGACGGACCTGTCTATAGAGAGGATGTCAACCTAGAAACATTTGGCAGCTCATGTTTCACTGCCAACACACACTTGGGTAATCTAACTGTGCTGATACCGAAAACCTTTTCAGGCTACATTTGTTTCTGTGCTTTACAATAAGAGTTCCAATTTTTGAGATTAAATAAACTGTATGTAAGCCATTCTGATAAATGTGCAAAAGTATGCATGCAGTTAGGACCATGTTATTTGATAATGTGGACATGCTGAAAAGCCTGTTATGACAAATTACTAATTGCAAATATACACTCATTCTTTGTTGCAGGGTGTGTGAATGACAGAGACAAGCAGCTTCGAAGGCTACTAAAACCATTTCCAGGCCAGAAGAGGATGTAATCACAGTAGTATTTTATGTATGCACAGAACAGACATAACATTATGACCAAAATATATAAAAGGACTGAAAACTGTGTGAGGACAAGTTAGAGTTGATTTTTAAACCAATTCAACAGCCTCCCTACTCTACAGCCTCTGAATGGTTCTCTTCATAGAGACTAATGTACAACATTTCTCGTTTTCAACCATTTTACACAAAAGGATCAGACAAATTTTAATCTTTTGAAAAGAACAAATGGCATTTAAAAGTTTAATGTACAGTAGGTCGACCTCCTCATCAGTGAGCCTTGGGCATCCGTGACCTTGTTGCCAGTTCACTGTTTGTCCTTCCTTAGACACTGTTGGTAGGTACTAACAACTACAGACCGGGAACACCTAACCAGACCTGCAGGCTGGGAAATGCTCCGACCCAGTCGTCAGCCATCACAGTTCGGCCCTTGCCAGAGTCACTCAGATCCTTACACTTGCCCGTTTTTCCAACACATCAAGGACTGAATGCTCACCTGCTGCCTAATATACCCCACACACTGACATTGATATATTATATTGCTGAACCTAGTCAAATTTGTTATGATTGGTGTATACTGCTAGAATTGTACCTGGTGTCCAAGACTTTGACATCTACGTATCTGTGTGTGTCTGGGAGTAGAGAGGCTTCAGTGAGCACAACATTAGCAACACGTCATAAAAAATTTGTTATCTGAGGTGATCTCAACTCATTGCAGCCCTGAGTAAACGATTAATATGCAAATGAATCAAAATCGCATTTTCTTCAAACTGTTGTAAACCTTGTGAAAGACACTTCTTGTTTTTAACTTTTTCAGGTGCTCCTAAGAATAGAAAACACATCAATGCCCCTTCTGTGCAAAACATTTATTTCTATGCCTTACAAATACTGGCATTCAACATTGAGAAAATACATACAACAATCTTTCTGCGTGCGTGTCAGTGTAGTGTACACATTTACAATAACATCACCACTCCTGGCTCCTTACCTATGGCTTTGATGCTTTACATGAATATTAAGTAAGGAGATGCAATCTGAATACATATCACATCATTTACGTTGATGAAGCATTTCCATGAATTGGAACACATGGTAAATCACAAGAAACAGTTAAGACACTATAATGTAAACAGTGTTCTAAATTCTTCGTATGCTGTGGACTATGAAGATGATATGTATAACATTACCATGTTGGAGCTTAACAGCTGTGATGTGTTGAAATTTCACTAAATCTCAGGAATGACCAATGGTGCAGCACAGAAGAATTAAAGTTACATTCAGCTCTTTTACTTAATATTTTTCTTTGTGTGCATGACAGTGTAAACATAATAATGGCAATGAATACAAAGCAACCACAACATCTTCATAAATATAACTATGGTATATAAAATTTGGAAAAATATGCATTTACATTCATAGCAAACATTACACCGTCTTCTGTGATACAAAGAGCTCAGCTCTATGCAAAATACAGTATACTATCATAGACTACAGTTCAAGCTGTTCAAACATGAAAAGCCCTTGTAGCCAAAAATGTAAAACCTTTGAACAAATGTCTGAAATAAGTTACATTACTGCAGTTTATCATCACTTACTGAGACTCCTTCTCTTCAGCCAAAGATGATTTAACTGAACATAGGAGGCACCAAAGAAAAAGATAAAAAGCAATATAAAAAGTAAAAGCATTAAAAACAAATACATTCCAACATCAAAAACTCCACTAACAGCTACAGTTGTACTCCATGACTAAATGTAATTATCTGTTATACTTCACTATGGATTACTTATGCTGAAAGCTGTCCAACAGTACAGTAGATGCTTGCTTTATGCCTATTATAACATTAGTAGTATACAGAGAGATGACTGTGCAGTGCAATAAGAGTTCAGTTTACATAAAAGCTGTGTTTGTAGAATCCTAGCCTTCTGTCAAAACTATGTTCTGACATACTTGTGACTGTATAATTACAGTACATTTTAAATTAAATGCAGTGTGTATAATTCCATTTTATTTAAGTAACATATGCTGTTTTATCTCTTTTCTAGCTGCTCAATCTGATTGTTTTGAAGTCCATCCACCACTGACAGATTTTGACTGCTGTAGTATTAAACAGATTACACTGAAAGCAATCAAAGGTTTGGGTTCCTGTAGCAGGTAACAACTAATGCTGCGTTTCCACTATCGGAAACCTAACAAGCGGGATACTCCATACTTCCCTTAATCATCACTATAAATAGCCTCCGGCTTTGATGCGCACCATCCTACTTTGTTTTCCACTGTATTTCTCTCTGTCTGTCTCTTTTTAGAGGAGAGAGGGGCTGCTCCCCTCTCACACATGCAGTCAGCTGTGTATTTACATACGGTGCTTGTAATGCTAATGCTTGAGGTGTGAAGATGCGGACATTTAACCAATCACCAGCGACTGTTCTGCGTGTACGCACCCCCTCCCCGTTCACATTCCTGGTGTTTGATTTTAGTACTACCTCGTGAGGGGTGTCAAAATGTAGCTCCTGGAACACACCTCCAAAGTGGGCAAGCCATAGTGGAAACAAATGCAGACCTATGATAAGCATTACTCAGTGCGACATGTTTTGGTAGGTTCCTATAATGGAAAAACCCCGTAAATAAACCCCTATACTGAAGATCTGTAGGGGTTACTTTGCAACAAAGTGCACACTTTTTGTTTTGCAGTTCTGCTTACTGCTAAGCGGTATTTTGGAGAAAGACTGCGGCTCTTTAGCAGCTCTTTTCAAGGCAGTTTTCGAGACTTGACCTCCTGCCTCTGTCCTCTGCCAGTCCTTCTCCGCTGTCATGGAGGTGATGAACTCTCTCTTACCTGAAGCAAAAACACGTTTCTCTACAGCAGCTGCTTTATTAATGCCACCGGTCTCCTTTTTAACATCGGTCTCAGAGTTAGCTCTGATGCGGCTTTTTCTCGCTTGACCTCTACCATTTGTGTTGCTTCCAGATTCCTGGGGTTGCTTACGGGCATTGCCTGCAGCCTGCATGTGCCTGAGATGACTCCTTCCAGCTGAGGGGCTAACTGGGGTCTGGGCTCCTCCTCCACCTCCACCTTGTCCTCCTGGGCTCCTACCTTCTGTGGAGGTTGCTCGAGTCTCACTGCTGCTCCGCTTTGCTGGCTCCCCAGGTTTAGCTCTAAGCTCAAGCAGTGGGCTAAGTCGTGAGTGGTGCTGGTAGGCATAGGCAGAGCAGCTTCCATTGCACATCGGGTAGCGAATGTGACAGTGAGGACAAACTGGAAAGCGGGAGAGTGAGTGCTGAGTTGAGGCAGGTGATGGAGGGTTGTTGATGGGTGCAAATGGGAAGGCTCGCTGGCTATGCCGCAACCCTTTAGGTGAGTTGAGACGGGATGGTGGAGCTGTGTGAGGCCTGGATGAGTGAGCTGTGGAGGCAGAGGGGAAGCTCTGTGGCCTTGATCGACTCCCAGGTGGACGGCTGCTCTCTGCTTGTACCGTTTGGATCTGGAGCCATTCCAGCTGCAGCAGCCTCTCCAGGTACTTTTCTAAGGGCCCTACAGGCTTGGGCCGGGGCGCTCCACGGCCCTCTGTATGAAGAAAAACTGCCAGCTGTCTAAGGCTCCAGCAGTTGAATGGAGGAGGCAGAAAGTCTGGGTAACTGTAGCTGGGTTTTTCACTCTCATCCTCATTGCCCACAGTCCCATGGGGTCCTGGGATATCCGGGGGGAACTCATGAGTATTGATGACTTCAGCCCGGAGGTTGAGATGAGGAGGGGTGCAGGGAGTACAGGGAGAGGGAAGTACAGGCAGCCGCTCAGAGTCTGACAGATCACTAGCGCCATCAGTGTCATCATCCTTTTGGTTGTAGTGCTGCTGTAGTGCCTCTGGGGTGGGGGCTGGGGAGTGTGTTAGGGGCTGTGCTGGCATATGTCGTAGCCCTGATATTGGGGAGAGGGGCAAGGAGAGGGCTCGTCGATTTTTCACTATTCCCCCACGATTTTGATGTACCTCAGTGCCGCACTGTGACATACGCTGATTCTCTCGTTGTTCCTCTTTTCTGTGCACAGATGAGTGTTTGCGGAGTTGAGGTCTAAAATCTTCTTCATCAGGGCTGTAAAGAGACAAGTGTGAACAAGCAGCTGGGGATTTAGGGATTTACTGCACCTGAAGCAAAGCATTTCATAATAATGCAAACCCCTCTCTCACCTGGAGAGTTTGCTTGTATTCTGTGTAGAGCCATATTTGACCCTGCCACCTTTTGACTGCGCACCCTGTAAAACAGTCATTATGGAAGTGGTTTTAATAGCCTATTTCTGTTTTGACTTTCATGAAGAATATAGTCCACATGTTGCAAAGAACAATAGTGTCAAAACATGGTCTCTCTTTAATTAACTACAATGCCATTTACTCACCTTCTGTACTGTTGTCACTATGTCTTTTTCCTGACCTGGTCCTGGGAGGCCATTTTTCATTTGGCCCACTGATTTCTTAATCTTATTAATTTTCTTTGAACTGTGGAAACATGATAGTAGTTTGTCAGGTTCGCCTATAACATATGTCTGAGATAAAACATGACCTGTTTACTTTTTCCTTAAACGTGCCAATGTAAAATGAGGCCTACCTGGTTACTGGTTCGCTATTTTCAGTATTTTTTACGCGGATCTTCTCCTTGGAGACGACCCGTTTCAGTGTCGTGGATGCTGTGCGTTCCTGCATGATGGGCCCCATGTTGCAGATCGCCAGAGAGGGGGTGATGTTCTGAGCCCAGCACAGTTAAATGATACGGTAGCTAAAGAACCCAACCGACATCTCGGATCAGATACTCTAATCTGATAATGAGGCAAAAAACACCCATTTTCTCTAAAGCGCTGCAATGCATCATGCGCAGATAACATATACAATCCGTGTTCCACCGCAGATTAAACTCGTCCTTCGTCGATTCTCCTCGCTGATGAATAATATTCCAGAGACGATTTTAAAGAACTGGTGAGGGCAGAGGTATCTTTTTTCTGATTGTCATCTTTATCGCCATTAAAAATGCAAGACCGTCAGGCAGCGCATACGCTTTGTTTGGCTCACCATCCCAGTCAGATGGGTTTGTTTACCTGCTGCTGAGTGGCTCTTGTGAGTGTTACAGGTGCATTATGGGAATTGAAGTACACGCATATCAGTTAACCTTTAAAATAAAATATGCAAAAGCTCTTTGGAGTCTCCTTGCTGTTGATAAATAATGGATACAAGTGTGGAAACGATCAACTCTGTGTTTGAAGAAATAAGTCAAAACAATGCACACAATTATTACTATAAATATTATATTACTCAATCTCCCATGCAACACCAGGAACCTTTTGTAGCTTCCTACTAGCTGCGCGCATGTTAACTGATCATCAAACTCTAGAGCCAGTTACAAAGGCTGCTGGACAGTAGGAGCTACCAGCTGCAAATCAGTTCACGTGATTGCAATCAACAGCAGGGACGTGACCTCCATGACGCACGGAAACGCGGAGATCAACTATACACTACTTTAAATGGAGGATCAAGCAGGCTACATCCTGCATCTTAGATGTAGCCTTACTAACGCTTCATATCTTTATATGGTGAGGTGATGTTGACGTCTAATTTTGTTGAACAGTATTTCAGTAATGTTGCAAGTGCTCAAGGAGAGAGAAACTGTAGCCTAGCGTGTATCCATGCACGTACTCGCAGGGTGCACGCCCACTGTCTCTCCTGCGTACTTATTTCCAACAACGAAATAGCTGTTCTTGTCAAATTTGCAGTACATAATGCATTTTTAACCTTAGGAAAGTACGCTAATGTTACATCAGGGTGATTGGGCGTTTGATTAGAGTAGCCAGCATTTTGGGGACGAATGTGATGTAAAACAAACAAAACAATTTGTTTCATAATTTACTTTACAGGTGAGCAGGGCACTAATTGTCAAAGAGCATGGATAAAGAGTGGTTTATTGGACATGAAAGGATTCCCTCTACAAAATATGAACACCAGATGTCCAGCAGCAGTGTGTCAAGGCCCTGCATGACAGTCAACCTGACCGAAATGCTTCAAGCTGACAAGCCGAATGTAGTAAAGAAGCCAGTTCCCATCCGCCCCCCAAGTCCCCGAGTCTCTCTACCGAGGAAACAAGAGTTCCACCGCAGCCTCTCCTGTGAACCCGCTCCTAAACCCATCATCCGTCAACGATCACTGTCTCTGCCTTCCACCCCAGAGAAGAAGAAACGATGCAGAAATGTTGGTGTACGGTTTGTTGACTCTGTGGGGCTCGACCTTGAAGATGTCAAGCTTTTCAAATCTGGAGAGGATCCATCTGTACCATATCACGTTACCTTTAGGTTGTTGATGGCTGCAGAGTTGGCAGGTGGAAGGCATCTGGAGATTTCCTTGCCATACATGAAGCCTCTTTTCTCCCAGCAACCCGGTGACCAGCCAGGATTCCTGCATCGTCTCCATGAGCAGAAAGTGTGTCTCGAGAGAGTGTTTTGTTGTGAGCTTGGTGTCATCGGAATTACCCAGGTCCTCAATTTGGATTTTGAGAAAGACGTCACAGCTCGCTATTCATTTACAGATTGGAAGAGCTGCACAGAAACTAAGGCCTCTTGGGTGTCCACCATCACAAATACCAGGGAAGGAGGAGGGAGCCAACTCAGCTGTGATACATTTCGTTTCCACCTGACCATTCCTCCTTTCTTACAGCCAGGAGCAGTGTTAGAGTTTGCCATTCAGTACAAAGTCTGTGGAGCTGAATACTGGGACAACAATAATGGTGAGAATTATAAGTTGGTTTGCCATAGCTACAAGCTCAGTGTCCCCAGAGAATGCGAAGACAGTATGGTACACTTCATTTAGGGTTCTGACTAAAGGTAGAACAATCCCATGGAACGCTTTATGGGGTTGTCAGCATTGTATATGTAATGTTGTTAGATTAATGCTAACAAAGGGAATCTTTGAATCAAGATAAACTGTTGACTACTGTATGCACAGACCTAGTTAAAGTGCAGTATTCTATTGCAAACACTATTACACTTATACCTGATGCCAGCTTTAGTGCTACTGTTTTAACTTTGGGTTTTCTTTTCATATTATTGGATTTTCCTGCATGGCCTTTTACTGTTGAATGCATTTCAGTCCAGCTCAGTATTTGACATAGAAAAGAGATCTATATATTACAGGAATCTGCTCTGTTGAACCATTTTTCTTCAGTTTATTTTTGAGTCAAATATTGTCGAGCAAAGTCAAACCCTTGGATAGATGCAAAGTAATTTTTTAAAATAAATCGGAAATCACTGTATATTTTGTTTAAGAATAAAGCACAATTTTGCATAATGATCAGTTTGTATTATTATTATATTCATTTTATATAGTGTATATTCTTTAGATTGATATTTTTATTGAAAGTTGAGGTCCCACCTCTTCAAGCTATACTCTACCAGCTTCTACTACTCTGAGTTTTTTTTTCTTGTGAGAAAAATAATTTCAAACAGGAGTGGTATTCCCCACTATCACTGGTGTTCCTGACTGGGAAACAATGTGATACTTAAAACATCTCTCAGCCCACTACAAGTACTGTATGTAAAGGCCTATCAGTCCACTAGGGGTGGCTGAAACAAAAGAGGTGTTCAAAGTTTTAAGTACTAGGGACAAAATCAGCATGGAGACCTACAGTTCATAATCTGTCTCTGAATGAACAAAAACCATATTCTGTCAGAATCAGCTTTATTGGCCAGGTGTGCCGGACATACAAGGAATTTGACTGGTACAGTGGCTCTCAATGTGTACATACATGTTGACAAGCAAAGTAATGTGCATTAGGAAAAGAGATTTAAAAAAAAAAGAAGAAGAGTAAAGTACTTATAAATAGAAGGCACCGAGCTTTCTTTTGTTAGCCTTTCTGGAAGAAAAAATGAAACGTTTTTTTGTTTTGTTTTTTTTTCATCAATGTGGGAATAAATTACTAGATGATTTAACACAGTGAGAACATCTTTGACAAGTCTATGTTTAGATTATAGCCTAGTTTGTCCAGTCCCAGTATAAAGTGATGTCATTTTCACTTAAATATGTTTCATCTAAAAAAAAAAAAACAAACAATGTTGCTGACAGAGAATGCGAAGACAGTATGGTACACTTCATTTAGGGTTCTGACTAAAGGTAGAACAATCCCATGGAACGCTTTATGGGGTTGTCAGCATTGTATATGTAATGTTGTTAGATTAATGCTAACAAAGGGAATCTTTGAATCAAGATAAACTGTTGACTACTGTATGCACAGACCTAGTTAAAGTGCAGTATTCTATTGCAAACACTATTACACTTATACCTGATGCCAGCTTTAGTGCTACTGTTTTAACTTTGGGTTTTCTTTTCATATTATTGGATTTTCCTGCATGGCCTTTTACTGTTGAATGCATTTCAGTCCAGCTCAGTATTTGACATAGAAAAGAGATCTATATATTACAGGAATCTGCTCTGTTGAACCATTTTTCTTCAGTTTATTTTTGAGTCAAATATTGTCGAGCAAAGTCAAACCCTTGGATAGATGCAAAGTAATTTTTTAAAATAAATCGGAAATCACTGTATATTTTGTTTAAGAATAAAGCACAATTTTGCATAATGATCAGTTTGTATTATTATTATATTCATTTTATATAGTGTATATTCTTTAGATTGATATTTTTATTGAAAGTTGAGGTCCCACCTCTTCAAGCTATACTCTACCAGCTTCTACTACTCTGAGTTTTTTTTTCTTGTGAGAAAAATAATTTCAAACAGGAGTGGTATTCCCCACTATCACTGGTGTTCCTGACTGGGAAACAATGTGATACTTAAAACATCTCTCAGCCCACTACAAGTACTGTATGTAAAGGCCTATCAGTCCACTAGGGGTGGCTGAAACAAAAGAGGTGTTCAAAGTTTTAAGTACTAGGGACAAAATCAGCATGGAGACCTACAGTTCATAATCTGTCTCTGAATGAACAAAAACCATATTCTGTCAGAATCAGCTTTATTGGCCAGGTGTGCCGGACATACAAGGAATTTGACTGGTACAGTGGCTCTCAATGTGTACATACATGTTAACAAGCAAAGTAATGTGCATTAGGAAAAGAGATTTAAAAAAAAAGAAGAAGAGTAAAGTACTTATAAATAGAAGGCACAGTGTAGAAGGCACAGAGCTTTCTTTTGTTAGCCTTTCTGGAAGAAAAAATGAAACGTTTTTTTGTTTTGTTTTTTTTTCATCAATGTGGGAATAAATTACTAGATGATTTAACACAGTGAGAACATCTTTGACAAGTCTATGTTTAGATTATAGCCTAGTTTGTCCAGTCCCAGTATAAAGTGATGTCATTTTCACTTAAATATGTTTCATCTAAAAAAAAAAAAACAAACAATGTTGCTGATCAAATTATGGAAATAAGGTTAAATATCAACACAAACTTCATTTATTGTCTTCTTTTGCAGACATAACATCCTGGTGGAGTTGGGCACTTTTGTTGGTAAAATGGGAAACTTACCATTAAAGTGTATAACTCGCATAGGCCAACAATACAACGTATTAATTAAAATATCAGTTAAATCCAAATTTTGACTATACTTTCATTTAGCCAGTTCATAGTATTCCATTGTTGAGTACTCTGCTACTGAACACAATAGATCAGGGGTCAGTAGTTATTAGATATTAGGAATAAACTGTAAGAAGTGATGAAATTCCAACAAAATAAAAGCTGGAATACTGATGTCTGAACAGTTGATCAGACAATTAGGCTACTTTAAATCTTGTTTACTTTAAAAATACTTTTGGGACAATACCTCCCCCTCCCCCTTTTTAGCCACTCTTGCAGCTCCTGTTGAATCCATGGATATATTATTTTTTTCTCCCCTCTTTCAGCTTTCCTGAATATAAAAGTTTTATTTCACCTCTCCTACAATTGAGCATTTATTCATATATTATACATAATAAATATATAGTAACATATATTCTCATTAATAATGCATTGACAAATCCTTTATTTTAGCATTCTTCTTCACAGAATTTTTTCTTGGAAAAACAACACTACAGGTTTATGCTTTGGTACATTAAAAGTAGGCTATGGTAGTTAAAAATTATTTAATAATATAATTTCTTAATTGTCAGTCTTATAAATCCCAAGGGGCTAGATGTAAGCGAAAGAACAATTGCAGTAGCTGCAACCTACTTTTTGCACTTAATGTCCTGAAGGTTGTGGGACAGAAAGGAGAAACATCCGGACGTTAGGAACCTGTCCTGCGCATGCGTAAACAAAGACTTCGCGGGTTTTGAGCTGGGCTAGTTAAAAACCTGTCAAAGTATAAGTATCATGTTCTTTTTTTGTACGGAATTTGACAACACGGTAAGTAACGTTATAAGAAAAATAAAACCTGTTGTTGTCCATGCTGAACGATTTTAGTTATTCAGTTTCAGTCTACCGTTATGGCCGGAAATTTGTGTTAACCGTGAGAAGTAACTTCAGCTAGCTTTAGCAAAAGCTATCATTAAACTAACATTAACTAGGAGTAGTGAGATTGTAACTAAGCTAAATGGTGCCGTTTGTTTCACAGCAGAGGTGATTTAGCTTTAGGCTGGTTTTTGTAATCAGTGTTGGTAGATTAATATGACAACGTTAGCTTGTCAAGCGGTTAGCCAGGCTTATAACATCATATCCCTAATGTTAAATCATTGTTACTGAGTCATAAAGCTCGGCTGCACATTGAGTTTGATAGTGTTAATTCATGTCCATTTAGTGTTGAAGTTGGTAGGTTATTGGGCAGTTATTTTGAAGACAAGAGACCAAATGCCAATAAAGAGGTTCCTTAAAAAGAAGAATGGCATCGGTTCAGGACACAAAGGTGGGCATGCAAGTATCGACGTAAGACGCAGATTACTTACACTTGAACTGCTCTGGTTGTTTTATTGTACTGCGGTTGTGAAAAGTAAACTTTGATGAACTCTCTTCCCCTGCAGTTGGAGAATGTCATTGATTGGGTGTTAAAGAGTGGGGATGTCCAAGCTCTGGATGTATTTTTGCAAAGAGACATACATGAAGCGACCATCATAAAATGTTCCCAGCAGTTCCTTACCAAATTGGATAAACTTGTCAGCAGGGTAAAATGTAGCCATCGCAGCCACAAATAAACCACATTGCTTTGTTGTTTGTAGCTTTAAAGGTTGAATCATTTTCTATATTGTTTACATAGAAGTTGGATCAAAAAGATTTCAGATCAGCCAGTTTGGGTCTTGCAGTCCTCTACAAATGTGGGAAAAACCTGAAACTACCTGGTAGTGGACAAGGCCTGCCAAGGTTAATAGCTCAAGGCCTGATCAAAAAGATAAGTACCTCTCACAATATTACGGAGTGTTAGTGCTGTTTTAAGTAAAACATAGTCAGTGGTTGATTGAAACTGGTTTTGTGCACATGGTGCAGTGGTTTGAGAAATGCAGGCAACTGTGGATCCAGCGTGGCCCGCAGTGGGATGAGACCTTGTTTAACCTCTCTGAGGACTTCTTTGATGCTTTAATGGTGAGCTAATATCTAACAATAAAACATACTTTGTATAGTAACAGTTTGCTACTCAAGCTGGTGTCACTAATGTAAAACTGTTTCTTATATCTCTATTACAGGTGATTCATGAAGCATGCAAAGAGGGTATGCTTGTGCATGGTTTTCTTTATTTGTATTCAGTCCTCAGTATGTGTGTTTCATCTTCATTTGTTCTTAGTATCCAAGTGGAGAATGAAAACTAACGTATGTTCCACCTTGAATTGCTAATGTTTAGAAATGTCACTATTTGTTAACAATATATATTTGTTGCAGTATTACTTGAATCTGCTTGTTCTGCAGTTAACATTAAATCTTTCTCACACTAGTGTTGAGATTTGTGTAAAAAAAAAAAATTCCCACTGTGAGTAACAAGGCAAGCTCCTTAGAATCATGTCAAAGCATACATGTCAACATGTTCATGATGAATCTCAGTACATAAGAAAACATTTTGTCTCTGTTTACAGAATTGATGCAACATGCTTTTTTTTTCATTTCTTTTTATACAGGATTACACAAAATCACAGAGGCCTTTCTGTATCCTATTGGTCAACTGGGAGTTGACCCCAGAATCTACGTCCTGATCCAAAAAGAGGTGTGAAATAATTTTAATAACTGCTTTTTTTTTTTCTTTCTTTTTTGAAGTAGCATTTCGGTGTTTGTTCAAAAATTTACTTGCTAACGATGTTCTAACAGGCGATTCGTAAATTTAACTTCATTCTGGACAAAATCCCAGTGGAGCTTAAAAAAGAGAAGAAGATCCTGACTTCACAGGAGGCCTCAGATATCATGTATGTCATGGTAGTTTATAGTAAGAATCATTTTTACTTTTTTTACAATATCCGTACACAGCCTGGAACCTTTACATATCCATATTTCTACAGGATCAAGCTGGCTGGTCATGTACTGGAGGGTGGTGGTAAGTGTTTTATGAATAGTACAACCTTTCTTCTTCCATAGGCATACACAGACACAAAACATATACAGAGCAAGTTTGTTTGTGTCAGATTATGACTTGCAGACAGCCGTGATGGAGGCACTATGCAGAATGACTTACCCGGAACAGAGGAAAGAGCTGGCAGATCGATGGTTCAGCATGGAACATGTGGCCCATGCATTTTCCAAGATCCATGATTCAGAGTTTGAGACGGTAAAATTAGGCAATTTTATTTAATTTGCATTTACATTTTTTGCACTACTGTGGCAATTTATTGTAATAATTTTGCAATAGCTTACAAAGAATTCAGTGTGATTGTGTGTGATTCTAGGATTGTCGCAAGTTTCTGAACTTGGTGAATGGGATGCAAGGAGACAAGAGAAGGTATACACATACCATAATTCAGTTCATCCCAAGATGAACTGAATTATGTGCCAATTAATTTCAAATATCATCTGTTTATTAAATTCTCTATATATAATTTTTTGAGAGAACAAAGGTAGGGAACACACACTGCTGAAGACAGATTCACTAAACTAAATAACAATGCTCTCTGTACTGTAGAGTGTATTCCTATCCCTGTTTGGAGGCTTACCTGGACAAACATGAGGTCAGTGGCAACGGGATTGCTTTGGTTCTGAAAATGGGAGGAAAAAAAAAAGAATTTGAAACTACATCATTAATAAATGTTCAGAGATACACAGCAACAAGTAGAGGTTCTCTGTGCATGAGTCTGATAGCATATTCAAGATACAGAAATCATGTAGAAATTATAATTCGACGACAATAAAGAAATGATCAAAATGCCCTGTTCTTCTTGGTACATTTAACTGTTGCATATAAGGTGGAATGCCACAAATTCATAATGTAATCCTAAGTGTATTGGTTGTGTTGAGAGAAATGTAATTATGTTGCCAGTTACTGATGCCTGTCGATGAGAAGCTTGAAGAATTCTGGATCGACTTCAACCTTGGCAGCAACAGCATCTCCTTTTACTTCTCTTTGGCTGATGAAGAGGCACAGGTACCTCAAGATTAACTATAGTTACATAATCAACAGTAGATGTACATCTGTTACAGTCTAATGTTCTGTGGTTTCCCATTGATGTAGGAGGGCCAGTGGGAAACAATATGTATCAATGAGAATGAAGTTGAAAGCTACACTGTTACAGGTAATCAGAAAAAACAGCAGCATTAGTATTTATGCTTGCATGACTACTGCACTTCAAGGAGATAATAATCCCCTTTTGGTTTGTGTGTGACTGGCCATGTGTATTTGTTTTTAAGTATTTGCGCGTGTGTGTAACAATAGTACACTATGTTCTTATCTCCAGAGGAGAGCAAGAGGAAAGTCTTGCAGTTAAAGCTGTCAGAGTTGGTGGTTGTCGGTGAGGTGGAAGGTTCAAGTCTCACCATCCACTTCAGTTCCTCCCTGGACATCCATCAGGCTGCTCGTAGAGTCTACGGACATTGCAAAGACAAAGTAGGTCATGATTTAGGAATATGGATAGTTTTTTTTTTTTTTTTTTTTTAAAGTACACAATCAGTAAATATTTGAGGTACAGTAATGACATAGTGAAGAACTTGGCATCTTGTGGGGAAAAAAATGTTTTGACACTTGGTTTAATTTTTTCAGTCACTGCAGTTCATTGTGATCAAACACTTAATAGCTTGTAAAACTTGAAAACCACAGTATTCTTGCTTTGGCTTTATGCAGGGTCTGGAGTGTGTTCATGAAAAAAAAAATGTTGATTTACATCTCTTCCTGTCAGGGCTTTGTAGGAAAGATGGGCACATCTGTAGTGAAGACAACAGTTAAAATTATAATGGAAGAGAACAGCTCTCAGGTAAGCAGTGGTCTTTTAACATAAAGCAGTTAATATACAGCTGGGATGGGAATAATATGATAAGTAAAGATGCCAAAATGTGTTAAACTAGCAACAGTAGGGGCAGGCCCCTATTGTGTGGTTGGCTCAAGTTAGGTCTGAGATGGGTTTAAATAAAATTGACAGAATACAAACCGAGCGATGTAGTATGCTCAGTAAATGGGCCGTGGCTTTAAACATAACATTTTATAGAGGGTGCTGGGCATTAGTCATGAGATTTACATTAACATAATATTATTGTATCAGAAGTTCTTTAAACATTTGAAAGCTCTCTTTAATGCAAACCAGCATTACAGCTGTTAGGTGTTTGTGTGTTTATATTGCATGCTACTCTCCATGCAGGTTGTTCCTGAGACCCAGGTGTCCCTAGGTAAAAGTGAGAAAAATACTGACCCATACATTTTGCCTGCCCTGTCTGCACAGGTAAAAGATTTAGTTTTGTAAAATAAATCAGATATGCAGTTAATTGTAATATTGTTTAAGCAGTATGTCATTGACAGCTGTCTTTGCTAGTTCTGTAAGCCCTCCACATCTTTGCGATTTCTGTGGTTACAGTAGTCATTCATGCTAATTGAGTTAATATATAAAATTTTTTCTAATTACCCCAAGTATGTTATATGGTCATTTAGACAAAACATTGATTTTGTCCAGCTATGACACTGTTTTGTATAAAATGATTTAATGTAACAGCATGTCACACCATTATGTTATGTCTACAAAAGCTGACTCAAGAGCAATGTGTTTGAGAGAAAGAGCAGTAAAGATTGTTAAGAGGGCTTTAGATAAAACTGTCACATTGTAATGATTTGAATTGATTTCTCTTGAGATTGCTTACAAATAGTGGTCAATGGTGGAATCTAATTTGCACTATGTGTACATGCAATCCTGTGTTATGGCTTTTCAAAAAATGAATACAATATTGTTCACTTAAAAAGGGCTGTTGTTGGTTGTATATCTGTTAAAACTAACATTCACGGCCAGTAGGGGATATAAAGAGTAAAGGAATCAATTATATTAAGTTGAATCATTTTGTTGATGAATATCAAGCACTAAGTGCTCTACTAGGACTCATTGTGCAAGACACTGAATCCCTATTGACAGCAGAATTTCTGTATTTCCACTCTGTAGGTGATCCTGACCTAGATTTTGAACAGGATTACACATACAGTTTTTTTCATGGAATCATTGGGGTATCACATTTAAATAGAGCTTTTAACGAGGTCTTTAAAAAGAGCCACAGACACAGTCATTCTGATTTTCCATTCAGATGGTGACCCCAGCCAAGATTAAGATTTCAGAGTCCACCACTTTCATCAGCAATAGTGCAGGAGGAAGTGTGCATGGTGCTAGTTCCCTTTCTTCTCTTATGTCATCAGGTAAGTGGATACAAGAAACTGTTAATTCATTGATTCACACCAGTTCTAGTATTGTATTATCTTCATGGTATCATTACTCCCCAAAAGTCTAAAAGCCCATATTATTCCAAGCATGTTTGTCTTGCTTGGTGGGAAGTTCCTTATTACTTTTTAATGCTGTAATTCTTACTTTCATATTGTCTGAAAGATAATTTGAAGCAAGGCGTTTAGATTCAACTCTCAAGTATGACATTGTTCATTTCTGCCTTTTAGATACTCATGCCAAGGGTAAAAGGAAGCCATCTTTGGAGATGGTTCACTCATGTGATAGACGAGATGAATTTCAGCTGAGAGAGCTAAGGACAACTAAGACCTCCAGTCATGGCACATCACCCAGCACCACAATAGCAGATGCCACAATACAGCAGGTATGACAATACTGAACATACAGCATGTAACATGATGTACAAGTGTTCAAAATATTCAACAGTGTTTTAACTGAATGATCACTCAATAGTAAACCAAAAATATGTTTGAAAGTATTCAAAATATGATGCTGTTTTTGCTTTTGGAATTGTGATACATCTTTACAGAGCATGGCTCCCAAACAGACCAGTAAGAACAAGGCTGACAAGCATGAAAAGGTACAATCACCAAATTATTAGACTTTAAAATAACATTAAAGTACTATGTGTTGTT